TTTCAACGTTGAAATCTTATCTTTTTGTAGATATTTTATGCCATGTTCTTATGTCTTCCTTTAAACTATAATTTAACCGAAACTGATCGTTAATAGGAAACATTTTCTTATTGTTGCCTAAGAAAACTTAAGCTTAGTTTTCATCTGAACAATAATTGACCAATTGAAGATTGAGTAAATTATTTTGTCTGTTTGTTAAAATTATATTATTTTTTTCTCCAAAATTAATGAGATGACTAGTTTCTATTGCGTTCTATTGTGTATACATATTTTTTAATTAAATAAATTCATTTCAAGTTGTTTCATTGGTCTTAACTTTTGACTTTATTCACACCAACAGGGTTAATAGTCTAGTGAAGTGTTGTTTTTAAAGAGATCAACGAGGTTTATTTAAAGCTTCATATATTTTAACATTTGAATACTTTATTTTTTTAAATAAAAGTTGATGAATAGCAGTCAAACAATGATGTTCTTAATGAAACTGAAATTGTAAGCAATCATGTTGGAGACGTTAAAACTTTGAGACTTGTTAGTCTCTAGTTATGAAAATTAAACACTTTGATTACTGATCAGATTATTTTTCACAAATATACTTTGGAGTACACTAGTTGTTCAAATAAATCGGCATATTTGTATAGACAGGATTAGTGTACACTGTTGTTTTACAGTGGTTTTAGTTTCTCTGGAACAGCGATTGAATTCACCTGAATAATGTACCTGAAGTCTATTTAAGTCAAATGACTGTCTTGTTTACTCGAGAGTATTTATATATATTGTATATCAATAATATAAATATGATCCCAATGTAAGTCTCAGTTAATTAAATTTAGGCTCACATTCAAGGTGATAAGATAACAACAACAGTCAGTTGTAAAACAGCTTCAAAGTAAAAATGACGGGTTGAAAATGGTTCTTTATGCAAAATATGTTCCAACCAGTAAGAACGTTTATCGATAATTAACTGAACCAATATGATACACGAAAACGGAAATAAACCCTGACTACTAATAAGTAATATAGTTATAAATGCAAATTTCAGAAGCAATTCTTCATATTATTCAAAGAATGGAGTTGAGACATTGTTTGTCTAATATAACTTGCTTGAAGATTAGAAATCTAATTGTTTGAGTATCAAAATGTATTTTTATAATGTATCCGAATGATTGTAATGGTTATTTTGGTTATGCAAAAGTCACTTCGTACGTGGTGTGCCTAATACGACATTAATATCTTATGATGATACAGTCAGTAATATTGACTTTCGATTCATAAAAGTTATTGATTTGATACTAGATTAATAAAGCGCATCAAATGAAATGAATTTACTCCATTCCATCATGAACTCTGTTTTTGTTATCATTTGAAAGAAGACTGCTAATCGAAGCAACTTCAATACACTGACTATTTCTCCACACCTCTAGACAATACAATTATATGGGAACCTTTTCTTTTAAAAAAGATTTTGAACCATATCTTTGATATATTGTAATAAACAGAATTATCAAAATATAACTTATTGCTAAACTGGACTATGAATGTTTAACTAAACATTTTATAATATTTCATTGAAACGATAATCAGAAATGCGTAGTTTTTTTTTCTAACCAAAATTAGCAGGCTTTTACATATATAATAATTTATTTAATGAAATTCATTTGCATTAAATTTGTTTTTCATACGTACATTCAATGATTAAAAATTTGATTGTATTTATTGTTATTATCATTATTATAACCGAGAAAAAAATAATGGCATATATTCTTTCTTTGATGAACAATTCGCCTATTAAATAAGAGTAAATTAAGATATTCATATAAATAATAACAGAATAGAAAACACTAAGGTTGGTTGTTACTTAAAAGCAAAAACAGAATGAGGTTGTTGGCTGAGCTTTAAAGTCTTCAGGAGATTAATATAAAGAATATTGACTTTCGATCATTCAACGCACTTGCAGTGCCTCCATATATATATATATATATATATATATATATATATATATATATATATATATATATATATATATATATATATTTGGGTTCGCTAAAATATAATTTGGTTAAGCCTTTTGATTAACTTATTTAACCAAGCCATTTGTATAACAACAACTTATATGTACCATTGGTTTAAGCTATTGTCTCGTTTGTATGAGCTGGTATACCTGAACCATTGCTCACCGCATACGTGCATATTCATCCTATTCGCTTTACTGTTAATCTCTTTTGATGACTCAGCCATTTTCCTATGTATATTTGCATTTGATCTTACCGATTCATTCACCAATTTGCCGATTTGCCCACTCGTTAGCGTCCTTGTCCTTCTCTGTGTGTTTATGGTCTGCTGTTCCATTTTTGGTATGCCAAAATAAACGTATTCAACATCTCGTATTCGCTATTTAGTAACGGTTGTCTGAACGATCAGCATATGAAGTCGGGGAACACGTTGGATACCGACCGTCACGAGACTAGTGATACATTGGCCACCATACCCTATGGATTAGTTTGAGTTGGCTTGCATAGTCAAGTGATAAATAATGGGAGATACAAACGCCAAGTCTTGTGCTTTCATATGACGAGCTACATATTCACTGCTTTCTCGAATGAATAAAATATGTAATCTCTAGGTATGTATTAGTACATATTCATTTGCATAGTTTACACTAACCATGACTGAAAGATTAGTCACCCATTTCAAGTATTCTATTGTGTTGATAGGTAACTGAAAAAAGTTTGAAAACTCCCACAGAGAATAGAAGTACTAACCTTTCTAATAAAAGCACAGGGCTTCGAGTCAAAAAGGAGCACAATAATTCAATAATAAATTGTACAGATATGTGACTCCCACTTGAACATTAAAAACACGAAGTTCGATGGTGGGATCTGTTTTCAACGAATTTACTGTTAAGTTGCATAATCATATATATATATATATATATATATATATATATATATATATATATATATATATATAAATTTCATAAGGGCAAATGAACAAATATGATAATGTGATAGGAAGGTTATAATACGAAATTATGTAGAGTAAATAATCACAATAACATATTGTGTGTGTGCATGTGCTCATATAAAACGCCTTGTCAAATTCATAAACAAGGAACGAATTGATATGTGAATCGACTAAGATAATCAAATTGTTTCTGTTACAATAATTGGGGATTTCTTCGTCCGTAAATCCTCCATGAGATGATGCCTGAACTATGGCGTTTAAAAAAAGTACGTCTTATACAATGGTCTTAAACTATAATTATTATTTTATTACGTATTTGAAAATATAGCCCCTATCTCTCTTTCCAATTATTTCGCATATCCTCATTATTTTAATTCATAAATGTTTTTGGCATTATTTCATTTCATTTAATTCCTTTATTGCTGTTAATTATTGTAACAGAAGCATTTTAATTGTCATTCTGCTGACAAATCAATCCATTCCACACTTATGAGTTTGACAACGTTTCTGATACGTTCACACACAGAATATCTTATTATTATTATTATCTAAACTATATAATTTAGTCTGATAACCTGTTTATTGCACCACCATGTTTGTTCATTGTTCAATATCCTTACGGAACTAATACTTAAAATCCTATATTTATACGATTGTACAACTTGAAAGTAAATTTGTTGAACTCGGCGTTTTGAATTACACAATAGTTATATCCACCTCTTGTATGCATCTTCTCATTCTATTCTCATCTTAAGTTACTGATATTTAATTAGTTTTGCTCCAATGCACTTTCACTATCCCTAACTTTATTGATGGTACTTCACATATAATACAATTACTGACCTAACATTTGGAATAGCTATTGATTGCATAATTATCTCTGTCAACCTACATTATCTATAATTGTTCCATTTATTAATCTTAAAATTTTATTTGATCTACAGTTTGAATCAAATGTGATTAATACAGTCATATCAACATTCATAATCTAAAATTTTATTCGCTATTTTTACAGATATATTTTTTTAATTAGCGTTGTGGAGATCAATGTTTTTAAACTTCAAAATCATCAGTCAGTCATTGTCAGACCACTATTTGAAATCTGGAAGCAATGGACGGCCGTCTCGTCCTGGTATGGGACTCATCAGCAGTGCGCATCCACGACTGCCGCTACTCGCAGGATTCGAACGCTTAACCTCTAGAGCACTGGGCCGGCATCCAGCGATGTTAATGTCTAACTCCGATCAATCTAGGGATTTCGAGCGACTCCGCCCATTTGTCTTCGATAGTTACTACCTACACTCTACAGGGTTGAACTCCGCTGGTCACATCTCACTAGAACTCTGAGAATTTCCTGACGAAGCTAGTCACTGGTGAGCATATTATGGGAGTTTTCAATTAGCGTGATGCAGATCAGTGTTTTTACATACTGAAATCATACCATACCAGGACGAAACGGCCGTCCAGTGCTTCCAGGTTTCTAACGGTTGTCTCACAATGATTGACTGATGATTTCAATGTATAAATAAATCTTTCTAAAACCCGACAATACCTCTAAGTGAATACGTCAAGTTCAAAAAACCGTAGTATCTAATGAAAATTTTATAAATAACATATTTTGCGATCATATATTTTTGTGGTTAATATCATGATATATGAGATTTTGGAGATTGTTGAGTTACTTTTTGAAATCGTGAATCAATGAATGTTAGACCACCATTAGAAACTTGGAAGCACTTGTCTATCATTCTGCCTTAGAATGAGACTTATCAGCAGAGTTCATCCATGACTAATGCAACTCTCAGGATTCTAACCCTGGAGGTTTGGTCTTGCGCGCCAATGCCTAGTCTCTGGACCACTGTGCCGGTATCTGACGGTGTTAATATCATGAAGAAGAAACTGTTAAATCAAGTCCTATACTGTCATTTATTTTGATTCCTATTTTTATTCTTACGAAAAACAATAACTTTTTTAGTGCATTTTATCAGATAAATTTGTAAATTAATGCCTAAGCAAACTCTGTTGGTTTAATTTAACGACTTATATTCAGACTTAGTCAATGATGTATAAAAATCTGCCAAATCCAATCTGTCGTCTTAATTTCTTTTCATTAAATCACATGGAGAATCAGTCACATTTAGTTGATTTTCTCTGATAACATAATAGTTTATAGCATCAACTTACCACTTCATTCTTGAGAAACTCATGTATTTCTGCATAAAGTTTATCACTTCCGTTTTCTCCTTGTTGAAGCCAATTTGTATCGGTTTTAGCTCTGAATTCTGCCATTGAATTTAAATTCATCTTATTTAACTCTTTCATTTGTTCAATAGTATTTTTGTATTCATTTACTGTATCATGTTCATTGTTTAAGATTTGGGAATAATATGACTGAATGATAAAAAAAGTAAATATAAATGAACAATTGTGAAACGATTCATTGTTCAGTATGTATTCTCTTTTTTTGGCATAGATAAACAATTGTTAGAAATTGTGAGTCCGTTGTTAACGACAGATCTGATCAACAGATTTTCGATGGAAATGAATTCTTTGTTTAGATATTGAGACTTTCATGATTAAATCATGAATTAGCTAACACAATCTCATTCCTTCTCATTAGCTAATATTTCACTCACTTTAATTGATTCTTATTCGGTCCATAGTGTACAGCAATGACTGGTAAAAAATAGAAAATACATTTTAAATTCATCTTCAACAATAATGTTACAGTACTGAATCAATTTTGTACTCAATTTCTTCACTTATAGACTTACTTGCTGATCTGTTTTTAATTCTTCAGGAAAATCAAGGAAACGACCACTTTGTAATTGTATAGTGAGACTTGCATTTTCCTGAGAAAAAGAAAACAAGTTAACATAAATTCATAACGAAAATTTGATCAAGGTTTGATTAAATCTTTATTTAGGAATTCCATCTTTGCTTATTATTAAAGTAAAATATACTCTTTATTTATAGGAAAATTGTATATAGTCTACTTACATATGAAGAAGACATTCATTAAAATGTATAAAACATGAACATGATATTTCTCTTACAATTCCCGATCTAATATCATTTCAAACTATCTTAAATCATTCGATTTTGCGTTGTGACCAGAAGTGGAATCCAGGATGTATGTTTTGTCTAGTTATGACAATCACCAGTTGAATGTATGTGCATATCAGCGCTAGTTTTCATTCCATGACTCAAATCTAGTATCTCTCCAAAAATGTTTACACATTACCTTACGAACTACTGATTCCAGGATATTACTACCTGGATTACTACCTAAGGATTTACGCTTTCTAATTGTTGATATACATAACGGCACTTAATCACTTTCTACCAGAATGTTCGCATCCTTAAGGGATTAATTTGACATCACCTTGTAATTATAAGTTTAAAAAGATTTAAATTGCCGGTAACACTGGTTTTTCTAGATCGTTGGTACTATCCAGTAGTTCAGTCCCATATTTTATTTAACTTCACAAAAGCTGTTTATGGTCGAAAAGCCTACCACTTAATGATCATGAACAAAAGCAACAAATAAGGTAAGTTTGAATCGTTGATTCATGGTGAGATTACATAATGCTGATGAATTCCAATGAATGGTGGCTTTCGATCACTGCATAATTAGTAATATTTCTCTGTTAATGATTGATGATACACAATGAACATATTCGCTGTATTGTATTCTTCATATTCATACACATAAATGTCAAACACCTACCAGAAAATTATCTGAATTGAGCATAATTGAATTTTCTTCATCTTTTGTTTGTATTTTATTTAGTGTTCGTAAACGAATTGGAGGTTTGAAAAGATAAAGTTTATGCGTTCCATTACGTAAGAAGCCCCTGAAAACATTAAGTAATTCAATCTCAGTAACAAGATAAGCAGGGTATTTTTTCGACTGAATGATCGACGCTTTTATACACTACAAACTTCTTGGAAATTGTATTACTGAAAATTAGTACCTGAAATTTTTTTCATGCTTCATCTGTTACACAGTTTGCAGGTCAGAAATTAAAAGGATGTACAAAGCTTAGTCACCATTCTCAATTGTAGTAGGACATTAGTTCCATAGACTTCACCAATATAATTGATGACATGTTTAATGCATTAAGTTCGATAAGCAATACTTTCTTGTTACATGGTTCCAGCAGAATCATCCAGAAGATAATCTATGTTTCTAAGAGTATTTTTACACCTAAATATCTTCTGAATTCCAGGTAGCCGGTTGATTCTACGTAAATCTCTAAATGTACTTTTTAAATTTATATAGGTCCTGCTTTCTTTACAATTTGTTAGGTAGTGCTTAAATGTCAGATTATATCATTTTCCTTTAGTATAACAATCCATTTGTATAATATTTCAGTTTTACATTTCATTTTCATTAATTCAGAGTAACTTTCGTTTTGCATTAAAATGATAAGTCTGCTAAATGAACTAAAGATCTGGTTTCCTAGCTGCTTCTAACAACCCCAGACTAAATGTACACAGCAACTTAAGCATAAGAGAAAAGGTGTGAATCGCGAAAAGTGTAGAATCTTTTCTGAATGTTTTGTTTTTTGGAAAATCCCTCCATGTTTACATATTTTTGTTATGATATGACTGACTCTTTCTGTTGACATTTTGGTATTTTATTTGATTCCACTTTGAGATTTTATCATTGTATATTGTTATTATTTCTATATTTTGTACTTATATTGAAGTTTTTATATTTGCTTCCGAACTGTACACATCTTGTTTAAAATTGATATATAATATGGCTACAGCCACATTTTTGGATTTGATATCGTCACAGTATACTAGCTTCACCTAGTCTTTGAACTCAGATACTCATCAGAGTAATTTCGACTTGGAAGACGTAAAAATTGTCAGGTAAACGTGTGTATTTCCATTTCTTTTATATAAATAGACCACTTTCTCCAAGAATTATTGTGTTTTGATATTCGACTAAGGAAAGGTGCGTTTGACATACGTCTATTGGAATCGAATTGAACTGCTACGGTAGAAAATTCAACTACAAAAAGAACGCTTTACTCCAAGGCCTGTGTTAAGCATAATCTTCGGTTTCTGGAGGTTTTGGGAATCATACTTAGTGTAGTAAAGTTATGACTAAATATCTAATCAGAATCGTGGCCCGGTTGTCCTATATTTTCTAGATGTTTCTGTGACGGTTTTGTTAAACATTGACTGGCTAAAATGTCTCCTGACGTTCCTGGGCTACTATAAACTTTCTTGAGGGAAATTTCGCAACTCCTCAACCTAAATCAGTATGAAAATTCAGTTGACGAATAATCAATGCATATAAATTTGTAAATGAGCAGATTCTGTTGCTTTAAAAATCGGGAGTTTTAATTGTGTGACAGAACAGAGCTTTGTTTTTTTGTTTGCATCAGTTTTCAATCTCAGTTATTGCCTCAGGTTTAGTTCAAGTTACTGCGCAATCGCTTCATGTATGATAATATCGGACCAGCTACTACTTTTTGAGCTTATTGTTTGCATCCATGTTAGTAATACACTTATGGAAGTAATTGTGGTACAATGATTCTTCTAGATATGCCTTTCTGGTCTTATAATATATAAACTATAAGTTGCTCTATAATTCAATTTTGTTAAAAGAAACCAATTTATAGCTGACACAGTATGAAAAATCAATTATAATAGAAATAGTGACTTAAGTGTGCCAACTTTTGGCAAACGTGCGCTTTCATCTGGTCTTTGTTTCGTTTCACAATTTCAGTAAAATATGCAGCAACAATGGGTTAAAGAATAACAAGTTCACGGTTGACATGACAAGTTGTCATTTATATGCGGAGATGTTTGAATGCCTCACTTTGCCTAAAATTTGTGTGAATGATGTTATTCAGACAAATAATGGAAGCTTTGCAATTAAACTGGTTATTTCAGATAATAAAACTTAACCAAAACCGTCCAACCTAGATTTAAATCTGCACCATTTCAAAAATGAACTATAAAATGAGTAATGATGATTGAGTAATATAAAATATTTACCATTCAAATGGACGTAAGAATGACCAACCAAGTAAATGCATCCTTTGTAATTTGATGATTTGTCGTTTGTTCACATTTCGAGAAACCATTGGTGGAGCGAACCAATTGCCTGATTTGGTTATATTTATTGATCCACCGATAGTGAATACTAACGGTACTCTAAATATTTGTATGATTAATAATGCATCCGAATCATAGTATGGTTTAGTTAGCTAAAATAAATCAAAGTGTAGAAATTTTGAAACCGAGTCTGCAAAAACCAATTACAGATTTTAGAAACAATACTTAATTTTGTAATTTACCTAACAAGTTGAATGCTTTAAAAACTCTGTTTTTTTTCGTTTATCTCTACTTCTTTAATTCATTCATAAACAGGGGCTCAATTTGTTTTGCAATAATACCTTTGTGATAATGACCTTGACGTGACAATTTATCCATTTATTCTTGTAATTGACTATGTGACTGTACTTTTTCCTATCCCTTCTCAATAACCTTTTAGCTTTGATGATGACGTAATTTTTTAAATGTTTAAATCGTGATAAATAAGAAATATATAATGACAGAATAATTCCTTCAAAACTTTAAAATGGATGCTCTGTGATAATTTCTAACAGAGTCCATAAGTTTATAAACATAAGGTGCTAAATAGAGAATTATTAGAGACATTTATTTTATTGAATGTTCCTTGTTTTTAACCTGTTTTTAAAAGAAATCATTAGGTTGTATGACTAAATCATCCTTCATATTACCAATTACTCTGGACATAATTAGACATTCAGTTTTAATGTAGTAACTCAAGTAAAAATGAAGAATAAAGGAAATAGTGTGATACAATATGTCAGTGTATCTAACTCCAGATGATGATAGGTTCCAATCCACTTCGTATATAATCCATTTAGACAACGGGTTATTTAAAAGTTTGACATGGATGTTTCAAACATACATATTATCAGGTCGACGGAAAGAACAAATGTACAAACGCAACATAGATTGTTATGTTCATTAAATCACTAAATATGTTTGTCTCAGATTATCTGATTTAATAGGCTACTGATAGGATTATGCAAAGAGGGTGAGTATTAATACATAAGTACTGACATAAACATATAGAAGGTCTCGATTACTTTCGAGAATAAATATAGAAACAGCGTGAAACATTTGTTATATTCTTTCTAAACGAGAATAAGTTTTTATAGGTGTATACAAGGCTATTAGATACTTACTTGAGGTGGATCTTCCCATATGGGATTTTCAAGAGACGTCGTTGAATCAAATCTGTCAAATAACAAGTCATCATCACTGCCAAAACCATAAAATTTATTTTCCGGCGTAAGTTTAGTGTTAGAGCCTCGTATAACTTTAGCCAATCCAAAAATATAATCACCTTCTAAACAAAATTATGTGAATAGATATTTGTGTATTCAACTAAAATAAACACAAGCATACAATAAACATGAGTGAGCAATTGGTTAGAGCTGGAAAAGAAGGCGCAGGACAGAAGAGGTTGGAGAAAACCTATCAGCGGCTTGTGCTCCACTGGGGGTAACAGGAGTTATTAAGTAATTAAATCAGAACAAACACATTGAACAGTGTCACTTCAAAAATTTAAATTATTTACATGACCTTGATTATTGTTTTTACCAAAGAACACTTTGTATGGTAATAAAAATTATTCAGACCAATTTATTTCGCCTAACTGTTCATTCATTACACTGATAACTTCAGTTTGTCGCAATGTTGTTTAATCATATAAAGGCTAAATATTATGCTCCTGACTATATACTTAGATCACATGTGATTATGTTGCATGATCTATAAAAGTAATTATTATTGATGCAGTAAATAACTTAATGTATATTATGTACAAACAATTTAAATGAATTCAATTTATCCCATAATATTCATGGTTCTTGATTTACAAAAATTTCGATTTCCCTTAAAGAAGTCCTAATTGGATCATTCAACAAATCATTGAAGGCTTTCAATTTCAGCAACTAAAAATTCAATAAATATTCCATAGGTATGTAGGGTGCAGCATCGTAATTAATCACCATTGAGGAGTCCTAAAATAGGACGAGACGATTGTTCTGTGTTTCTAGGTTTCTATGATGGTTGAGCTGAACTCACTTCGCTAGTTAAACCATGACAAAATTAAATATGTTGAGATTTTGTTTCATTTTAAATAAAAAAACGTCTTCAAAGACTATTTCTCAATTTATATTATATAATCCCTATTCTAGAACATGATTACACTGTTAATTTTAATTGAGAATAATATAAGTCTGCTGCTTACCATTTACTGCCAAGCCTTCGGCATTCTTTAAACTCAAAAGAAAACCATCATTTATACGATAGAAAAATGGAAACGCTGAAATCATTTGTTTTGGTATACCATTTTTGGTTGTATTTCGTTTAATTGATAATCTTTGAAGTAAATATCGATTTAGATATTCAGGAGTTAAGAAATCATTTCGTTCTAGATGATTTAGGGTTATATAAAAATAAAGACATTACGAAAAATATCACTAATCTCTTATACGTTGATCATTATTGGAAATGTTATTGAACGTATGAAAATATAGGTAGACTATTCATAAGTCAATCAGAAATATTCAAGAATATTATAATTACTTGAAAGTATATTCTTGAACACTACTGGTTGAGTGAGAGCTTATGATGAATCGCGAGTTGGAATTGATTACCTCGAGTGGTATTCTTCAGGATTGTGAACATTGTATTAGGTGATTTACATGTCATATATTTACATAAGTAACAGTCTTTTTTAAAGATTTCAAATGAGTTTGACAGTTGTTGATTTTACATGAATATTTGAAACTAAAGTTAATTGATACTTTTTCTTCAAGTGATCTGTTGATGTTTTAATCAACGTAAACGTTCTATCACAAGTTAACCGTACAAAACCAGTCTGAAATGATCCAACTATTCCACAACATGAAAATGGAATGGATACAGTTAGTTAGTTGAAGAAACATCATATGTTAAATTAATCATTCCATCATTTGAAGGCAATAAATATTGTTTTTTCAATTAAAGTTATGGAGATTAGTGTTTTTTGCACATTGGAATCATGAGTCAGTCATTGTTAGACCACTCTGTTGGGTGTAGGCAGTAACTACCAAAGACAAACGGGTGAGGTCGCGCAAAATCTGTAGATTGATCAGAGTTTGACATGAACACCGTTGGATGCCAATCCGGTTGTTCAGAAGTTAGGCGTCCTCCCAGAAGGTCGAATGGCCTGGGTTCGAATTGTGATGCTCACTGCTGATGAGTTCCATACCAGGATTAAACGGTCAACCAGTGCTTCTAGGCGTCTAATGGTGGTCTAACAATGACTGACTGATGATTTCAATGTGCAAATAAATACTGAATTAGTCTTTATGCTTTCTGCTCAAGTCATGTCAGTTAGAGTTGTTCCAAACAGTTGGGCTACCGAAGGTGAAATGATGAAACACATCTGTTCCTATTAATTAGTCTATTTTCCATTACATTAGAGTTCCAAATATAAAATGAAAAATCTAACAAATTATGCATAGGAATCAAAAATATCACTGAGTTAATGAGAAACTATTATTATTATTATTATTATTATTATTATCATTATTAAATTACTGATATTTACCTGCAGAACTATCGAATTCACCTTCTCGTCGTAAAATCATTTTCACTACACTGCGTATATCTGTTTTCCTATTTTCATCAGACTCAAATTGACGATATACAACCCATTCAAAATTTGTTGGAGTAGATTCAATTGAACGATATGATCTGAATCTATATTCCAATGAGGGTAAAGGTTCCTAAAAAATGAGTTTTTTTTTAAACAAAATAATTAACGGAAGTATATCCTTATGTAAATGAGATAAAGTATTGAATTCTTCCTAGGTTTTAATAGTTCAAACAGCTATAACACTAATACATAAAATAAACCATTATCATGACCTATATAGACTGGTATTATCAGTGGCAAATATTTGCTAATCAGAAGAAAAAAAACGCAGATAATATTCAATACAAAATGAATTTTGGAATAATTATTGACTACTGATTACCTCTGTATAAGGTAAGAGACGAATAAGAATTGTTGAACACTGTATATATGGCACATTGTCTAATGAATCTGCTTGATAAAAGACTTCATCAGTATTGGTATTTTGAGCGATAGGTTTAGGTACTTCACATCTTAATCGAAGTTGATGTCCACCAATATTAAGCAAACCCTGTGTTAAATTCAAAAATTCAAATGTAGACATGAACAATATGGATGAAAGGAGCGCGTATACTATATTCAGTGTTTTTCGAATTAAATGCATGACAAATTATTAAATTATCAATATGTTTCACTGTTTTGGTAGGATTATCAATGATACATTTTCAAATGGTGGTAAACTTAATTTCCATCAATAGTTTTAATTTAACTTTTCTGTGTTAATTAGAAGAACTGACTGGAGAGTCGAATGGTAAGTTACATTTTTCGTTTTAGTATGAATTTCTAGCAACACATAATTTAGTTCACTGCGGTCAGATTTCATGTGTTAATTCAGGTGAATTTTTTGGTAATGTCAATATATACTATCCAGTATAAGAAAAGGAATAAAGTAAACGGAATTATTGACCGCAAAGAATACAGATTAGAATCGACCAAATTACTGTTTTTATAGGCTTTCTTGAGCATAGACGTGTGAATATGTTGTTTAAATAAAATTTAGTATTATATGTTTAACTGACTCACTATATAAGATTAATGCCCTAATTTTCATTGGGTCAGAAAAATATTGCTAACGGATGGACTTATTTGAAATCTTTTCAGTTTTGATTTTTATGAAAGCATTTATTAGTTAAATATTCATCTATCAGTGGCTAGTTTTATGTGCAAATAAGAATCGATAAATAAAGTTAACCTTGACGAAACGTATGCTGTTCATCAAAATAATCGAAATTGTATGAGTTATTAACACTGGCTTGTGTTGTACTGACTAAAATTATCTTAGAACATTGAGTACAATACTAAATGTGACTTAATAATAATCTGCTGATTGTTGGATAGTGACTAGTATAATAACTCCTCCTGGAGCCCCTCTGACGCTAATGTCGGTCCCAAGCCCGGATAAAGGAGGAGGGTTGGGCATGAGGATTGGCGACCCCATCCCATAAAAAAAATAACTCGCTAAATAACGCTGACCAGACTAGTATCACGTATGTTGAATTTATCTTGGTGTTGCTCGAACTCTATCTATCTCACTGTGTCAATTAATCCAATTAACTCAGTTCATTTGATTCGCAAACAAAAATGCACATTTATGACTTACAATCTTTTTAACAAATAAGATGAATCTTAACTAGAATTGAATTATTTATAAATGATTCATTTTGAGTTGCCAAAGTTAATTTTATGACATCTTTAATACAATTAAACAACTGGTGAATTTCTTGGAGAAATATATTTCAAATTCAAGCCAACTGCTTTTCAGTAATACAAAATTGGAGTTCATGTGTTGAAAAAAAATTGAACCACTAAAACCTTCACATTCTAAAGCACATTTAACTTGTTTAAAAAGGCTTTTCCAACTTTAATTGAATAATTATCAATAGTTCATACTGTTCAGTAGTTCTTGTACAGTAATCAATTAGCATAAAAAAATGTATAATTTTACTTAAAAAGTAAAATAAACAAAACTTACATTTGAATTGAACACCTTTAGTAGAACATTTCCAACAACTACATATTCTAAACTTGTCAGTGTAAGGGTATATACTCGTAGAAATAATAGAGAATTCTGAGATAAAGTTTTATTTTGATTAAGGTTAACAATAAAACGTTGATTTGGAGAAAAAACTGGAGATCTACTAGTTTCTTTTTTATCCATGTTCTCTTCTGGTACAATTAAAATATCCAATAGTTCTTCGTCATATTTTGTGTTTAGTAATCGACCTGTTACCTAGAAACAGACGTATAATGCAAGTTTGAAAATGAAAGTATAGGGTATTCAGTAGTATTTTGCCATTCTGTATACGTGTAGCACTATCCTAACAGATAGTGTGTCATGATTGTGCCACAAGTCTATTTTCTGATTGTTGCATCACAGTTAAACGATCACGCTACTTTTCCGTAAAAACGTTTTTATCAACTATTTCTAAGAATAACAATAAACAAAACTCCTTGCATTATACAGTCACAGCTGTACCTAAAATTCTAATTGTTTATGAAAGTAATCTCAAGTTGGAGATTTTGACGATCATTTGTATGACGATTATTAGGGCTGATGAATCAGTTTTCTGTGAAGATTATGTATGAACAATGGTGTAAGGATGTCAGTTAGATGGTTTAATGGGCAATGTTATGAATTATTCAAGAAAGTTTATTTCGTTAGAGGCACGTATTGCTGGCTAGTTATGAATAAGGGGCTATTCATCTAACCTAGAATACAAAACATGCCTTAGTTTTAATTCGGTAAAAATTAAAATTGTGCGTGATTTTTTAAAAATTATTATTTGGATTTTGATAACAAAGTTTCACTCCCAATCTCAGCATTTTTCCTTTGCATAACTGGTTGTTCAGGGACGTGGTAGTAATAGACATGTAGCTGTATTCGATTAGATACACGGCTCACTAATTTGGTGGTCCGCGACCCAATATTTATGAACATTTAAATATGCTATGAAATAAATCTCATCAGTTTCCATATACTAAACTTAGACAAACCCTGTTTGTGCGACGGTGGTGATAAGAACCCAAATGTGGATTCGGTTGGATGAAGTTATTTCAGGCAATCGTTCATGCAAAAATGATAGCGAAAAGCGTGCAAACAAAGCGAGGCGAGGTGAGGCGAAGCGAAGTGGAGTGGAGAGGAGAAGGCGAGAAAGCTAGCTCCTTTCGACTAAGCATGACTAAGAATTTAGTGTCAGATAAAAATGAGCCAGACAGGTAATAAGCGAATAGGCGTGCAGACATACGAACAAAAGCAACGCAGATATGAGCGAATGACTGACAAGGTCAAAAGACAATGGGACGAGCCCTGTGAGCAAGACATGAAAGCACTCGCTACAGACAAACAGTGGAACACTAAATTAGGGTTAAATAAATGGACAATATCTTGACATATATGTTAATTGTTGCTTCGTAAGCGTACTGCAAACAAATATAACTGAGCTTTCAAAAAATCATTGCTAACGAGCATCAGTTTGTAAAAACCATTACATTAGATCAATTTTGTCAGTAGTATATGCTATTAGAAAAAACATAAACCCGTAAGCTAAACATTTATCCCTTTATTTCTACAATAAACAAAGTGTTACATTCGTCACTAGGTACGCTTGAAGCTATTACGAGTTCGCATTAGTCGATAAACGCGAACGAGACAATTACCAGCGTCCAGGTGGGCTACCTTGAATCCCAAACTGCAAAACAGAAGTCCTGATAAGAGTAGAAAGTATATTCTACAATACCCAGCAATCACAATACTATCAGGCACACAACTCTCGTTTATTTATACATCATAGAAACGTCCTTGGGACAGTCACAAAAACAGCACACTAAAATACACAGCAGCCAATCACAGCCATGGATTTTCCTCAAGGTCAACTGATCAGCCCATGCACGCAAATGTGAAATCCAAAATAAGGCATTTACCAAGCAAGTTCTGGGGATCCAACACCCCCAACACAAAGAATCGAAGATGAAGTAGAAGATTTTTGGAGGTAGTGTGCATTCTAAGTTAGATAGTTTAGTCTTATTGTTTTCAGTATCTTTTTCACTAACAAGATCATTATATGGTTTAAAAATAATTGACCAATAACAATTTCATCACTAATGTATCTTGTTTCATTCGGTTATTGTGCTTCCGGTTTTTATATTTCCTAGACTGTATGTATATTTCTGATACTTTATTATTATTTTTATTATCATTAGAAAAAAAACATTGGTCTTTCATATTTACATATTTAAATTATATAACTGAAGAATACCTTAAAAATTGTAGAGTTATCTGGCATGAAGCGTAGTTGATCTATGTAAATACAGAAAGGTTCCGATGTTGAAGATGGTTTCATTAATCTTTCATATGGTGCAAGTTTTTTGAAAGGTACCCATGGATCATTGATTGGAGTAGCTGGTGGACTTAATTCTTCAATATCTCTTTAAAAAAAAAATACATGAAATAAATGAAATGCCGTAGGATTACGAGCTGTTGAAACTATAAATGAAAACTGAGAATAATATTGAGATTTACAAATTTTCTCTTTGAATTACTTACATGAGCAATAAAGAGCTTACACTGTCTGTTATGAGTTTTAGAGATGCATCGGAATAGTCGTCGTAGAAGTATTTTTACCTAGATACGTTAGAAATAACTCTTCATATTACTTCTAGTTCTAATCAATAAATGTCGAAAGTGACGAACAGCTAATGAGTACAAATCCTTCGAAAACCATCGTATCACCGAATTACGAGTTCCTACCATCTGAGACAGCAACGAAGAAAAGCGGAGAAAGTCCAGTGATGACTTGATATGGACGAAGAGTCAGATTTTTCTTCGCTTAGTATTTGACTTCAAGAACGCACACGAATTCAAACTTACACAAACAAGATAACTTTATCTTTTGTAAATTTTGATATTTTTCGATAATTTTTTCTTAAACACAGACACTTGTATGCTTGTTTGCTGGGAGGGAGCTATTTTAGAAGCTCACATATATTTTGTAGTTTTACCATTTTGGAGCTTGTATGCGTGTGTATGCTTGGTCATAACTTACCACCTACTCATGTAGTCGATTGGCTAGCTTTATCGATTAACTGATTAAATAATTAGATGTCAATATCGAATATATATCTTTGTATTAAATCCAATATTTGTATCAATCACTATGTATTTCGAATAATAAAGAAACTGTGGAACGACCCATGTATCTTAGTAACGGTCGTCAAGACGGAAATAAACAGAATTTAGAAGATAATGAAAGTCCGCCGCCACAAATTTTATTTACTAATCGGTTTTGTGAATAATATGTGTGGTTTGAAGAGCGCGGTAAAAATGTCTCCAGTTTACTTTGTGGTTCTCTGCAATAGGCAACAACAATATCAGACTTATGAACGGGTGTTGCTGAGGTGAATCAAGTTGGAGGAAAATAGTTATTTAGTGTTCCCTGTGTTTTGAAACTTCGTAAATGGCAGCAGTCTACCTTGTTAGTTATCCTCAGACTCGATTCTTCAAATCAATAACCTATGTTTAACGGCTAAGCCTACTCTGATCGATGAAAGACAATCCCGATTTCAGCTGATGTTGGCTTTGGAAATTAATTATAAGATGTTATGCTTATTTTACTACTTGCTAATTCTGCCAATGAATTCAGCACTGTTTAATTTATTCTCTGCCATTTAAAACATGACTGTATTTGAAGTATGAGTTCTTGTTTGATTTACTATACGGTCTAATATTTCGTGCATATAAGCTAATAAGTATTTGAAGCAGTTATTAACTGAGTCAGCTGTCAGATCTGGGTTCTTACAAAATAATAATTTGAAAAGCCTGCCTAATTGAACATTTAATGCATACAATGGCGATACGTCTAAATTAAATATCGCGAAATATATTTTACAGACCTCTTTGGCAAAACTAAATATGGCATTGAAATATCACATAAACTTTCTTAATAAAAAAAATACTTCTTTATAAGTTTAACCAACAGATATATGGAAATCATTTATCCAGTTTACTTACTCAATATCCTTTTCTTCAATTTGTTCTTCTTCAATCTGTTCCTCATCTACCTGACCTATTGTTTCTTTATATAACACTTTAGTTTGAATTGATCTGGTTATGTAGATAACTGGTTGCTGTAAAACTTTTGGTACAGCTTCAAGATTGGGATTATAAACTCTGAGTGAGATTCGTGATCCATGTAGAAGTTGAGGTGCTATTATATATATATGTCGGAATATAAGATAAATTCTTTAGATATTTGATAGTCTTTGTAGGGTTTTTGAATGAATGAGAATTTTATCATATCTATGTGTCTGTACTATATAAATTGAAAACAGTTTATCACTGAATCTATTAGTTATCATCAGTAAGTAACCAGTATGCAGAACTAATGTCTCTAACATGCACCAGAATAACCTAATAATATAAAATATTCATAATGAAAATCATATAATTTACAATTTGACGTGTCATCAAACTTCTGAAAAGTCCTAATTCGTTAATTTCAGTTGATGATGCCTTAAGTCATCAACTTACCATGAATAGTGATGTTATGGTTAACATACTGTTAAATCTCATTTCATCTCATCACGCAGTTTCCTACATTAATTTGGGAAATAGAGATCAAAGATTTGAGAATTATCGGAATTCGTCTTATTTCGTTAACATTATATCCGTTTTATGTTAACACCCCTTCTTACATTTGGGATTGTAGGTATTTAAAACTATCAAGCCCTTTCTTAACACCTATCTGACAGACGGACAATGCCATTATGTCAGAGGTAGTCTGCCTATATCATTACACATATATCGCCATGTTTGTATGTAATATGTGATCGAGAACACGGAAAGTTGAGGCATGTATTTCTCTTACTCACGTAAATGTTAGTTGCTTAAATCTGTTCATTGTTAATTCGCATGTCCAACATATTTACTTCATAAAATCTACCATTAAATTCATCAACTCATTTCTCACACTGTATTATATATATCTGTTGAACGTCTCATTTGTGGTGTGCTAAAATCAATTATTACAACAATTTCCTTTCATTGTCTGAATATTGTGCACTTTCGGAATTATTGTGATAAATGATGATCAGGAAGACTGTAATACAAAAGTATTCAACGATGAATATCTTAAATATTGTTTTACAGCTATAAAAATGAAGTTAGCTATACAGGTTAGTGTAAACTTATGATCAGTATGTTGCATGAAAAGCATTTTTAGATGAGCATAATTTTCCATGTCCAAGTTGTATTGGATTTAATTAACCTTTTGATGTAATATAGCATTTTCTTATTATTGCAGTACGAATATTATTGATAAACTTCACTTAAAGAAAAGTTATGATTGTGTAAATTAAGCTTGATGTATATATCAGGTTATGACATTAAGTATTTACTATTTTCTAAAATAGGAATCGTTACGCAAATTACTGAACATGTTATGTTTGAAACTTGTTACTCAACGCATGTTCACTAGCGTGAAAATTTCTTAGTGACCACTGATGATATGGCTACATCTTAATTTCTTGAATTTTCTGTTATGCACTTGTGAATAATGAATTTCACGGAGTGTGTTATTACTCCTGTTAATAATGACATAAAACTTCTCAATGAACGCTGTCATACAGTTCTTACTTGTATTAGCTACAATAATTGAATTTAATGTTTTGACATTAAATTCATCTTGTCAAACCAAATCGAAACATCTAATGAATATTCTAACTAATTATATTCCAATTCTTATGCACTTCATTAAAATTAAACAATAACGATACTGAATAGAAAAAAATCAAACCAAATTGGTGCATATTTGTTCCACTTAATCACTGTAGTTTTCTATGAACTAAACTACCTTTAAACCTCATTCATTAACTTAACTTCTCACATATAAATATTTCTATTATAAACATATTTTTACATTAAGGTTCTTAAATATCATGATTACAATGTAAAACTGTTCATAGTTAACTCACCTATGCGGTCATCTGTTTCTATGATTGGCAATGAGTAGAAATGATAGAATAAATAATTGAATGGAATTAACAGATAATTCAATGTCCATGCAGGATCATATGATATTTCTGGATAAGTACCTTGTTCAATTGGATTGATCACCTCTCTTGCCCATAATTTATATGGATAAATCTGAAAATAAGATTATTGCATATGTAAGTTGGAGAAATGGATCAATCATTTCATTGAAACATATGAGTAAAACTAAAGAATATCACAACAAAGGGAGTTGCATGTAAATTTTTAAGTTAGTGTATATGAGAAACCGTGATCTGTGGAGTTCAATCCTTTCGAGTGTAGTCAGTTAGCTGAAGAATACAATAGGTGAGGTTGCGCAATACTTTGGATTGATTAAAGTTAGGCTTAGTGGTCCAGAGGTTAAGCGTCTGTTTGCAAGAAGGTTTTCTGAGTTCGGTTCCCGCAGGCGGGTCCGATGAGTCCCATACTAGGACGAAATGGCCTTCCAGTGCGCCCAAGTTCTTAATGGTGGACTAGCAATGAACGATTTATGACGTTAATCAAACTCAACAATCTTCGCAACTGTATAATGAGGAAATCAGATGACTTTGTGTCTAGGTGGCAACCGCTCATATTAATTGAATTTATTGAAGCAAACTCCAGTGAACGTATCTAAATACGGTGAAATAACTCGTCAGAAAAATTCATGTCTTGCTATAAAACATAAATTCTTTACTTATATACACGATGGTTGACACGAAATAAACGGAATAACATTAAAACAACAGTGACTGAATATACCATACTATGGAATAAATATTTTTGGTAATTTCTTTTTCTGCATTTATAGTCATTATATTTTATGAAAAATAACGTTTTCTAGTAGAATCTGCTTTAAACAGATATTGTGGTACTTAAAAAAAGAAACAGATTTTAATATAAAAGATATAAATGTTACATAATATTTAAAAATCAGTAGTATTAATGTTGTGGACGTTAGATCTCCAGAACTCGCTCGATAAATGTCTTAATTTTGAAAATTATTCATGGGCTGATCAGTTGACCTTGAACTCACATTTACCACCAGGAAAATCCTTGGCTATGATTGGTTACTGTGTTATTTTAGTGTGCTATTTTTGTGACCCTTACAAGGACGTTACTATGATGTATAAACAAATGCGATTTGTATGCTTGATTCACTGTGCTTGCTGGGTGTTTTTTAGGATACACTTTATGCACTATATCAAGACTTTTTCGTTAGTTCCTTTGGGTCAACTGATCAGAGTAGCCTACCCGGACACTGGTTCATTGTCTCATTCTCGTTTATTGACTAATGTGAACCCGTAATAGTTTCAAGCATAGCAAGTGACGAGAATAACAACTAACAAAAAAATGCTATCAAAGTATTTGAGTAGTATCGTGAAATTTTGATTTAATTAGAAAATACTATTCATCATGTAATAATATTAATTTAGAAACCAATGAAATACAGGAGAACGCTGGTTAATTGGTTTGTTCTAGTTCATTTCTCAAATTTACCAACTATATAACAGTCTTCTTTTCTGTAAACAGAGATTTCCGGTGTATTTATAATGTTTATAGAAATATGAGTTTTGGTGTTTACATATTTCCCGGTTTTAATTTCCTTTCCTACAATTGTCTATCATAGAAATTTCTTTCATTGTCAATAGTACCTACCAAATCAATTTGTAAGTAGAAACTTAATTTGGAGGGGATTAAGTAAGCTTAATAATAAAACCTTAATTTCATTGGCTATTAAGTGACCTACGAATAAGAGTCTATAAGGCCTTGTTTATGCATTAAAATGTTTCATGTAGAGTATTTGTACATAAGTGATAATCTTTGTTAGATAAGATTTAATTCTGCTAAAAAGTCCTTACACTATCTTTTCACATCCATTATACCGGCCATTGAAACCAAAATCTGAATTTTGTGAGGATCAATCACTTGGTCGTTGTAATTTGATAGCTGATCATCTCGTGTTACAACAGAATTTGATTGTTTTTCATATGTTTTAAACCTTGTTAGTTCGCCTTAGGTAAAGCAATAAAATTCAACTTATAAAGTATATGATATTACGGATCAAAACTACTGACAAAAACCAAGTTTTTAATTTATAAACTTTCTAATGAGACATTATTTTCACTAGTTAACTTGTGTATATCATGTAATTGAAACCAGTAAGTAAAAGAAAACTAGTTCCATTAGATCTCATATCAAAAAATGATAACTCGTGTCAGTCAAAACTATTCATAAATTGACGAGTATTAGTCAACAAGAAATGTATGCATGATTCAAAGTCAGCGCACTTTGTTTATTGCTTTGAACAAAAGTTCGATAACTAATAAATTATCTTCCTGAATTAGTTTTCCATTTACATCATATTTTCAGATTTAATTTTTATTCTTACCAAAAGAAATGTGACTTTAAATTTTCTAAGATAATTTTGTTTACTTGTGAATTTCAACTTATAAATCAAATCAAACAGAATGAATTTCCATATGATTTTGAGCCAAACAAAATCACATAACCAGATCTCTTGATGATGTTAATTCATTTCAGTCAAGTATTTTTATTATTTAAACCATGAATCAATCACTGGTAGACCAACATTAGAAACCTGAAAGCACTGGACGGCTGTTTTGTCCTAGCATGAGACACACCAACAGTGCGCATACACGAGTCTTGCTACGCGCACGAATCAAACGCAGGACCTTCGGTCTTGCGCGCAAACGCATTACCTCTTGACCACTGAGCTGACATGCAACAGAGTTTATGTCTTACTCTGACCAATCCAAGGTTCTTTTTTCTTCGGTAGTTACTGCTTACACTCGACAGCGTTGAACTCCACTGGTCACAGCTTCCAACTAGAACTCTGAGAATTTTCTCACAAGTGAGCACATTTTTCAATTTTTCATTGTACAATTGTGGAGATTATTGTTTATAATTGGAATCATGAATCAATAATTGTTTTTATTCAACAAAAAATTAACAGTGTCGATTCATGAATTGAGCCACTTATATTACAGATACATGTAAATCAACTTCATCAATATTTGAACTAATTATTGTAAATTGTACAGTTTCACTAATATTATGTACTAATGAGCATTAAAAAGTTCCATTTGGGCATTACACTTACTTTTGAATCAGTCTGGTTAGCAAATTTAGACTTATCTTTCTCTGTAAAGCATTGTATCTGTGTCCAACCGAATGTTACCCAATCATCTACAAAACAAAAGACTACTTTCAGGATGTATTAACCACAGGTTCAAATTTTATAAAAGGACTGGTTGGTATTAAAGCGAGCAATTCGAAGAATGTTTAGTTTGTTTGATTAAAATCCTGTCATGCAAATATATATGTATGATAAGCTTTAAGCAAGATCTTGAGAAGTAAATAAAAATTATAATTGGTTTCAACTTAGTGAATTGAGGAATCCAGTTTAGTATGACGATAACTTGACGCAAATTTCAGGTGTTTAAAAGCCCGGAGTTATTTTTAGGAAAAATGATTATGTCTTCTTAAGATTCAGAATTTAAAATAATCAGGTTTCGCTACGATATGTTTATCCTAAGAGAATACCTGGTCATTACCTGTCTACTTATGAGTTGTTCGTGTATTTAGATTTCAGTACTACATAATTTCCCATAGAATATTCAAGAAAACAATGAATATTTAAATGAGTGCTCATTTTCATCGATATCTTCAGGTTCTGCAGTTACGAGTTCATTTTTTGACGAGACTTGAAAATAGGACTTTACAAATTGTTCCTATATAGATAACAAACAACAAGAAAATTGTGCGGGGTAGAATAGTCAGTAAACGCTAACTGTGAACTTAAATTCAAGAACACATATTCATCAGGTAAGTTGAAATGTGAACATGATGAATGAACGATTTCAAACAGCCATTTAGAAGATTATTTCTCTACTCAGAAATGAATTTTGATTTAAAAATAAAATAAAATCTAGACAGATAAGTTGCAAATCCTTATTATTACTTTCCACTTCAGCATCTGGCATTTTGTATTGTAATTTAACACGAATGTGACCGATAAGTGAAGGTTTGATATAATTTTGTTCATTCGTAAGTTCAGTGTCCTGAAGTTTCTGCTCCTATTAATTAATATTAAAAACAAGTAAAATTGGATTATTTGAAAGTTTTTACTTAATTTAGTTATAAGTAGTACAAATATTCACGAAAATATTTTACGATCTACAGTTTTGGAGGTTTGTATTTATTCCACTTAGACCACAACTTCGGAAAATTATTCAGATTTACAGTGTATAAATCGACCGAGACAAGATGAAAGGGTATTTAGACGGTTGAATATAACTATTTTCTTAACAAAGATAACAACAACATTAGTCGAACTTTAAAATTGCGTAAGTGAGTAATTAAAAAATAATAATAATTAAAATGCGTGGAAACTTACGAAATGTTATTACAACGAAAAGGTCAAGTGACAAAGTCCTAAGAACTGTAAAACACAATGGTATTTCATAATTTTGAGGTTTAGATTTTAAAAATGAGAGTTATGATAGTTTCGAAATGTATAACTGTATCGTCTTTCATTTAAAAGTGATGCTTAAGAAGAAAGCAATCTAAAGAACATATTGAATAAAAGTCATTAGTTTCTAAAAAGAGATCGGTTTCCACTGAATGAATTCCAGTTATCCAGTGGTATAAAAGTCAGTAAAAACTGAAACTTATAACTCCTTGCAAAACTTCATGTATCAAAGTCATTTACGAAAATTAATTTTCGCTTAAAATGGCAATGAACGAGTAGTAAAGTTTATCACCGTAAATTTTAGTTTTAACAGTTTTCATTAGAGTATTCGGTTTTTGGTATACACTAATCTAATCAATTTTTATTGAAGTACCTCATCATGTGAAGAAACTATGTTAAATGAAATCGATGAAATGCTTCGTTTTTCGTTTTACGAAGCTACTCAGCTAAATGTTGAAGATATTTTTTTTCGGTAGAATGAATTCCATTCGAATTGCTTATCGACATAAATCACAAAATAATCCTAAGTAATTGAATGATAAGCATTTACGACTGAAGGCATATTGATTTAGTTAACCAATACTCCGAAAACAGAATAAAAACCAAAGAATTTAATAAAATTACTTATGTGAACTATTTTTTACATTGAGACATTTGTATTATTTAAAATAGTCCAATAGAGTTTTCTTTAACATCATCCGGAAATAAATGATGAAATTAGTATGTGTTTATGATAATGTGATCAAAAGTTTGTTTTATACCATTATACTTGATGAGTAATCTTAGGTATTGAAACTAATCCAAACTATGAATGCAAATTATATCAAAAATTATATTTTCTATGATCAAACGTTCGTATAACCTATTTGAACTTCTATAATGAATTACTCAGTGAGATATCTGATTGTTAGTGTTATTATACGCATATTCGTATAACGATATGACCATAACGATAACAGTGATTGACCAGTGGAAATTGGTAGATCAGTGACTTTTTCGACAATCCTTTAATAAAGTGTAATTGTCACCTAAAACTCAACTAAATAAAAATTTCTAGCAACTTCTTAGTCAATTAGAAGGGGATTAATTCATAGAAATTTCATGTTTCATTCAAGCGCAGATTAGGTGTGAATTCATGAATTTGTCTAATTTTTCATCATGTCATTCGATTATATGTACCGAGAATTTTAGAACACTTGATTATCAATGAATTCATGTCTTATAAACACTTATTAATCACTGCATGTTAATCACTTTTATTCTTTTTCAAGAAAAATTATAGAAAGATTAAATCTATGTATCAGTAAAATTGTTATTTACCATAAACTTCAAAGATTGTTCCATATTGAATTGAAACATGGTAATATACATTTGTGATTGTGTTTGTATAAATGGCGGATAAGAATAATTTGTCATGGAATAAGTTTTATTTTTACAATAATCTTCATCAGAAGAATAAACATGATTTAAATTATCATAGATTGTTGATAGTTTACCATGAAATATAATTGTTGGTTTAGATTCAGTTAAACAACTTTGTTTTATTTCATTTTCAACAAAATAATCAAATTGTACACGAAATAAATCAGTGGATAAAATCTAAAATTTAAAAATATACATATAAGGAAATTTATTAAAACACATAAGCTTTAATGAATCTATTCTATCGACAGTCCTTCACAACTAAATATTTCAAGTAATTTTAATTGTATCAAATTACCAATTTATTCACTCCTTAAACCGACGAGTAAGCATTACTGGTGTTAGGAAAAAAGCATTAGATAAGGATGACAAATCAATCGATGAAGTAGTGAATCTTCATCAGTTGAGTTGATTGGGATATCTGTTAGGTATGCCTAACCTGCGCCTGCCTCGATGAGTGATGTCTGATGTAATGGTCAAACCACAACATAGCACTGACAACTGGATTGTGTCATGTTAGCAGATGTAGACTACTTGTTTGCGGTCCGTGCGATGATAGTATCCGATGCTTAGAGACTTTAAATGACATGGTTCAAAATCGTTTGCAATGGCGCAGGTGCATTCATTATTTGTCTTCCTTCGAATTCTAATCTCCTGAATTACTCATGACTACTTTTCTCTTCTTGATCGATTTCCCTGAGATAAATGTCACGAATCACTTTTTCGATCCCTAATCTTCTCCATTACCGCTAATACTTCTACTACCTCTACTATTATGGAATTTGGATTGGCAATTTCATCTCTCTGTACTGATCTAATTTGAGGACTTGAATGTTGTACGCTGCAGCTGACTGACTGACTATTCTGTTCATTCATGGAATACACTGAGAAGTGTAGTCATGAGGATTTTTTTTTGTTAGCTAAATAAAAAATATTTTCAAGACATAAATCGGTTGGTTGGTTTTTGTTGGGGATGTTAGATCCCCAGAACTCGCTTGATAAATATATTTATTTTGGATTTATTTCATGGACCGATCAGTTGACCTTGAGATCACATTTCTCACCAGGAAATTCCTTGGTTGTGATTGGCTACTGTGTCATTTTATTGTGCTATTTTCGTGACTGTCCAAAGGACGTCTCTATAGAGTGTAAATAAACGCAATTTGAGTTCTTGGATTCATTGTGTGCTGGCTGGGTGTTTTTAGAATACAATTTCTACACTATATCAAGTCTTCTCGCTGATACCTTTTGGTCAAGGGATCACAGTAGCCTTCCTGGACGCTGGTTCATTGTTTTGTTCTCGTTGTTCGACTAAGGTGAACTCGTAATAGTTTAAGCATACCTAGATACGAGCGTAACAGTTTTTATGATAAAAACGAAGAATTCAATTAAGTTCTTATTATCAACACTTTGGATTTAATGATGACAAAGTGAGACTATATGAAACTTAAGAACAGATATATATATATATTGAATAAGAGAAGGAAACCTCAGGATTAGATTTTAATAATTATGATTTTAAAGTCTAACTGAATCAGGTGTTGTTGAATATCTTGTTTTTACTAATACAATGATTCGTAAAATATCTTGTTTAGAAAAATGTTAGGGCGAAAACTTACTTTTCTTGAATCCGTCACTGTTGTTACAATTATATTATGTATAGTGAATTCTTGTAGATAAAAATTAACATCTTTCTTTGATGTTTCTTGTATTTCTTTTGTTATTGATCTATAATCAAGTGTATGAGTAGTGACAGATTTCAACAGGTTAAAAAATAGGACTGATTTGAAAACTTCCATTAAATTGGTTTTAAAACTACCTGATGAAATTTTATTTAAGAAATACAACTATCAGGAGAATTAGTTGGTAGCTAGCAGTACATTTAAGGACATGTATTTTATCCTCTTTGTAGACTGATATCCACTTTGGGGCTCGAACACAGTACCATTTACTTTTTAACTTGACTGCACTATCCACTAAGCTACTGAGTTCATGTTCCCACTGGTTCGTGCATTGAAGTGACATTCAACTCATTTGTCATGGTTCTGTGAATTTTCTGATTGATGATAAGCCTATTTTGGCATTTAACTCTGATTAGATTGCTTGTGATCTGATGTCATTAACAAGGCAATCAGCCCGGAATACACACAGTCCTAAATGTCAATGGCAATATTCAAACGACCAATATAAATGGTGTGAAAATTCGATGTTACTTAACTGGTAAACTTATGGAACTACTACACTGTTCAGTTCTTGAGAATTTTAGTATTTGTTTTAATACACATTAAATCTTATATATATATATATATATATATATATATATATATTGTCTTCAGGACTGTTCACTTTTTCAATTCTTATTCAACTTTGACACGCTTCTAGAGATTACACCTTCATACACTGACTTTTCAGATATTGATCTATCAGGAGACTTGCTTGATGACGTAGTATACATGAATGATATATTTGGTTCTCAGCTCAGAGAACCAAACAACACCATCAGAATCATCCACCTAAGCTACAAATCTTCTCCACCATCTTACATTGTAGTTGACTCACCATTGGATTCCTGTATTCAGAAGCTTAGTTAACAGAATTTACTATCATTATCTGAGATAACTGAGATTTTCATCTACATATCATCCATATTTTATATTCCTTCAACTTTTATCTACTTTTAGTTTTAAGTAGATATATAATATTATCTTTATAATATCATAAACTTGATTCGTAATCAAATTCATATCCAATTTCAGTTGCATACGAAATTAATGATAAACTTTTAAGTACACTGTAGAGGACATGTCATTACACCTATTTAACCCTATTTCTAAAATAATTTGGAAATCTACTATTAAATATCAATGCAATTTTTAGTTGTTCAAGTAAAAATGCAAATTTCTATTTAGTGTATATATATATCGAAAAAAAATACCTATTACACATTAGTACATTTTATTTACGTATCTATGTGTTGTTATGTTAAATAATTTATAATTCATTTCATTTTTATAATGCTTAGATGTAGTATTCTTATTCATCACTGACATGAATAACACGGATTAATAGAATGATAGAAAGATGATACATAAGACTGATAAACATGTATTTATGATTTGTGTACAGATTAGTGCTTTTTTTTGTTATAATTTATGTTTACATAACAGCACATATTATTATTATTATTATTGTTCAGAGTTTTTTTCTTCCACAATCAATGGTTACCCAATGAAATGTGTAAACTATGAATACTCTGATAATTTATGCGTACCGAGATACATTACTATACATATATATATTATATCAAGCTAATTTACATGCGTGTATGTTAGTGAGTATCTTTGCTTGTTTTTTTGTAAGCTCTAAGATATTCAAGTACAATGAATTTGGACGCTGATTAAACAATGAAGACTTGCTAATTCATTATATGATAAATATAGGTTGATTGTCTTGCCAAATATTAATTAGTCTAGTTAGATAAATAATAACTTGAATACTATTGAAATTCAATGTAAAGTCATTTAAAAATAAAATCTAACGAGAACTAAAAGAATGCATAAGTTTATTGTGAACTAAGAACTCTGAAAGCAAGTAATAAGTTGCATTGTGACAGTTTTTATTCATTGTGAGTAATGTTGTTGTATCTGAAAGTTCTTGGAAGTTCTAGTTTCAATCAATGTTCGATGGATGGTCGTTCCAGTATATAAAAAAGACATAAACCTTTTTTGAAAACCTTAAAAGAATCAATTTGACCAACTTAATGTCGATAATGTCAGCTCCAATAATCAACCAATGCATAACTAAGGTTTGTTAATAACAAACTTGTAAAAGTCAAGCTGATTTCAGACCTAGATGTGAAAGTACCGATCAAATGTTAATAGAACGTGGGTATACTAACCAGAGTCCGATTACAATCTTATTTCTTTGTCTTAAGGCGGTGTTAAACTTTGAAAACCGAGAGATTTGGTGAAATTGAGATGGTGGAGAAAATTTGAAGCTCAGGTAGATGATTGTAGAGGAGTTTCTTTCTCTGAGCTGGACGTTTTCGTTGTGAAGCTTTCACTGTTCTTCTGAACAACATCATCAACAAAAACTTCAGGTAGAAGTCAGGTACCCCCATTTCGCCACGTATGACTCGTAGCTTGTTCTTTGAACCTCGATCTTGATTGTTTGTTATTGACCATGAACCTGTCGGTGTTTGTACCTCTTTTTTGATTGTATCCCACTTTGATCTGTTTCTCGATCCTATATTTGCCTATGATTTTTCTAATTGGTTGATAAATAGGGCCAGTGTCCATAGTTCTACGTATGTGTTAATATAAGGGAAGAAACGTCATCATGTTCGACTTCTAATAGACAATGCTGAAGAGGGCGTCCACTTTGTCCTATGTGGTGTTTCTCACAATCTGGTGATAGTACTTGCCAGAAGAAGGTATACTGAAGTACAAACTTTGTGAAGGATTTCTGCTCGAATATTACTGGTCAATTCAACACTTGTGGCGAACTGTTAACAGAATCGTAAACCCAATTTAGTATTCATCAGAGTAGCTAGTTATTCCTCTTTTTAATTTCGTCATAGATTCCATTCTAGAAATCACACTTTCTTTGGCTTACTTTCAGGAGTCAATATCCTATCAGAAGATTCCCCTATCGGCTCAGATGTCAAAGTCTTGATTGGTGAAGACAGTGACAAAATTCATAGTCTTCTGATTGCCTTCAGCTACATTACAAACACACTTGGGATGCGTTTCTTTCCCTACTAATGCAAAATGTTGTTGCAAGACTGATTTACGTCAACGCCTAGACTAGTGGTAGGGAATGAATTAGTTGAGTATGCCAACCACTTAACTGGTCTCGGACGTCTTAGCATCCCTAGTGGGTTGATGTCAGACGAAATCTTGACATAGATTCGGGGAGCTAGGTTGACCTTCTTAGCTGAACTGCACTATAGACCTACTTATCTCGATTCAAGTACCTTCAAACAAGTGGTGCAAGAGAGACTATAGTCTGTAAACTGAAGGGTATGTTGCGTAGCGGTCTGCCTAATATTTGGTTTTGGCTAGAAACCATGATCTTGAACAATAGAAGGCATGAGTAGGCGTCATATTTTTGATCATTTATGTTCTCGAAGGATTGTTTCAATCCCAAAAGGGGATGCCACGTCACAACATGTAGTCGTTAATTGTTTCACTGTATCATGTTCACAGTTATATGCTACTTGACTGACATTCATGTGATGATTCAGATAGGTGATTAGAGACAATGGATAATATGGTTCGAAATCCGTCTCAGTGATGAAGACGGGTGTTGTATTATACCTGTAGGTTCTAGTTTTCAAGATTATTTTATACTTTTCATTCCAAAAATCCACTTTTTTCGAGTCAGATTCTGTACACACAAACGTTTTTACCACCAGGGATACATCAACTTATCCTACTATGTAGATGAATTTAGGTAGATTTTTTAAATGTATATTTGTTTCAGGGTTTTCTGTTCCTAATGACCAACTGACTAACACTATTCAAAACGTGAATCAAACAGAAACACTGATTTGATAACGAAAATGTTGTTTTTTTAACGATGTAGTAGACAAACACTGATGATGATATGAGTGAAATTCTAAAGACAAGTGATAATTAACTACTTGGAGTGTTCATTTCCTTTAAAAATCATTTATAGTATAGTTGGATCAGAGAAATGTGATGAATTTAAATTGTTTTGTTTTTCAAAACAAATAATTAAGATTAAATAAACGTGAAAGATTTTTATTACAGAATTTATTCAAGCATCAAAGAAACTGAATTGACTAATATCAGACTTTTAAACAAACAGATAAGGTGATAATTATCATAAAACTACTAGCAATCAGCCAACTGAATAGGATAATGATGACGAGAACATGCATATGAATGAGAATGAAAGAATAATTTATAGTAAATCAACAAAGTAAAATAACAATTGATGGGGTTAGATAACAGAAATATTAACATTCCAGATGTGTCAAATTTATCGTTATAATAATAATGATAATAATAATAATTAATAGTAATAAAATTGTGAATTTCGTTAATATCTCAATAAGCAAAAGCTTGTATTTCTAATGTTTCACAACTTAGTGCAAGTCACTTCTTCAGATTAGACAGTGTTTTATTTACACATTTGAAATCATAAACCAATCACTGTTAGACCACCATTATAAACCTGGAAGCACTGGACGGCCGTTTCGTCCTGGCATGAGACTCATCAGCCGTGCGCACTCACGACTCCTGCACCTCGCAGGATTCGAACCCGGGACCTTCGGTATTATGCGCGAACGCCTAACCTTTGGACCACAGGGCCGGCACCCAACGGTGTTAATGTCTAACTCTGATTGATCTAAGGTCACGGGTTCTAATCCTGCCAGGTGCAGGAGTCGTGGATGCTCACTGCTGAAGAGTCCCATAATAGGACGAAACGGCCGTCCAGTGCTTTCAGGTCTCTAATGGTGGTCTAACAATGATTGATTGATGATTTCAAATGTGTAACAACACTAATCTCCAGAACTCAAATTGAAAAGAGTTTTATTTACCGTTGAAGTAGTTTCCACAAACCTGGATACGCAATTAGAAATTTAAAGCACAATTGTATAAGTGGATTTTGTGCATTTATTATGCGGTTGATAGGCGGTGAACCAGCTAATGAGGCTCACTCTACTACAAGTACGTAGATTTCATGGTAAATGCTGTGTGAAGTCGAATTGGAGCTTTAGCTCTTCTACTTTAAACTTATTCTGTTTAGCGGAATCTATGGGAATACTAACGCCTATAAAATTGCACAAAATTCATTTTAGTTACTAATTTGCACTAATACTCTAATCGTTGCCTCAAAATTCTACTAAGCATAAAGTACTCTGATAACATATGCAAATTTTATGTAGTTTATAACCTAGCTAAAATTGGTATTTAAAATACATTCTAATTACATTCAGAAGTACTCTTGTTTAAATATTCGCTTTTTTGAAACACAAATGTACTGTTATAATTAGAAGGTTTGATCAAGTACACATTCATACAGTTAGCTTTGACCTACTATACTTCATGTACAGATATCAATCATACTATTTGATTTAATCACATTCTAAAAAGTGATTAAAAATTATATAATTTGACCATTAGACCAGCTCACCCATCCAAACTATATTCATAACAAAATAGCTATTATGTTCCTTAATTTTTACAAGGATTCTTCTGAAATTCATATATATGTATGACTTTAAAGTACTATTGTGAGAAACAAGCAGAAATAAGTTAACAAAAAAAATTTAAGAAATATTACTAATGCATGTGACTTACATTAATTTACCAGAAAGTCTATTTAATTTGTAGTATTTATCATCTAAAACTTTATTTAAATGAATCATATTCCATGTTTGAATTATGTCTTTTGTTAGAAGTTCATTCGGTCCATGCTTGAATAGCTAAAGTTAAAAAATAATCAGAAATAAGATGATGATTATTTCACATGTAGTATATAGCTATTGTTCTATACTAGTTCATTATGAAGATAGATTATTAGACAACGTAAAATTAATGTACACAAAATTTTTTTTCAAGTAACATATCTAATCAAGCATAGATTTACTTAAATATTTTCAACAGATCTTAAGATGAATCTCCGTTTCCTACGTAAACCCGTAAGTAAACTCGTGAAAGGTGAGAAGAATACAGAATAGCACCAATCAAATATAAATACCGCCGAATTCACTGCTTACAACACATGTTATTGGATTTAGATATTGGTTGACGGTGGAATCCAGCTACAAACTAACTAACTAGCTACTGACTAACTGATGATATTTAATTGTAATCCTTACAAAGATGCATATATACTAAAAGTGAGTGATCAGTTTCAGTCCATAACGTCAATAAGAAAATTCAAGCAACCCATAAAAGTGATAAATCATATGGATTTATATAAATTTTATTTATCTTCTAACTTACAATTTGTATACCGGAAAGTCTGTCAATTCTATTCATAAACTAACTAGTAATTTCAGAACTAGCTTGAAATGTGTGTGAACGTTAGCAGAGTTTATTCAATTTTTCACTGAATGATGATGTAATGAACACGCATTAGATACTTGCCTCTATATATTATACAATCATCCGGAGATATCAATAATTCGATACCAGTTGACTGCGACGCATCAGTTCCTAAACTGAATCATCTTTAGTTACATGTTAGTTGATCTGTTCAAAAATGTTATCTTGAAAAGACGATCTCCAGTCCTAACATTTTAAACTTGATATGTTATCAATAAATCTTGATGAGCTACACTGACAACTGTAGATGAATTAATTTTTTAAGACATTTGAACTTACAGTAGGCACTTAAAATCCTACTGCTAAAAGTTTACTGCATGACATCTCATACATCTCACTAGTAGCATATATGGAACACTGAAAAATTTGTTTAGATTGGCGATTTGGTTACACATTGAAATACCAAATCTATACTACTGCCTAGTCACAAATTCGTGTATCCAGTTATATTCGTATAAGCAAAATCCATAAATCTGCATTTTAGACTACTTCGATAATAACATCAATCTTATCATCTACGAAAAGGAATGGATTTAAACAAAACTAGTCAGTAGAAATAAATAATCTTTACACTGCATAATCCGTCTACTATACATGTTCTATTACATTATAATCTGATAAGTATTTCTTATAAGATTATGGAATTCTCATTCACTTAAAAGTCCTACTGAAGACACTTTTTAAGTAAACAGTCATACATTGTCATACTAGAAGTCATTTTTAAATTTATTTATTATGGCAAAATTATCAAAATTATAATTCTAAAATGTTGATCATTGACAGAATAATTTTATACCGGTTTTTCAAACTGTAGTCGAGAATAACTGGAATATAAAAAAAAATCCCTTAAGACTAAAGTATTATGCTAGCAACTTGCACTTTCTTGGAAACGCCAGGCATTACACGATCTCACCTTCATGTTGAATGCATTAAAAAGTAACATACTTCGGAGGCAGTGTGAAAAGTAAGTAAAAGTTTCACTACATCTGTGTTGCTTTATAGCATATTACACGATTCGTTTACTCTCAAAGAAGCATCTTGTTAATTTCTAAAATCAAAAAAAAAAATAACTTCCAATTTTGAAAACTAATCTTTTACATTTCAGTGATTTTTACAATTTTAACTTACTTGTTCCATATCAATGAGATTGTTAACTTGTAAAATATCTGAGCCAAGTAATACGATAAGTGTTTCAGCAAATTCAATCATGACATCACAGTTGAATGAATTCAGAATTAATTGATCCCAAAAGAACATTAGAGCTATACTATTTACAATGCCAACAAATAGCTAGATCATAAAGAAGAAACAAGAAACAAAACATGAGGAATAGGAATTTTCAAGGTGACTGAAAAGTAGTTTTAGGATTTGAACTAGTTTTAACAGCCAATACCGAAGTATACAAATAACATCATCTTTATCCTTTGTCAACAGAACATGTTTAGACGTGCACTTGTATTTTAAGCTGAAAATATTTTAATTTTGATTTAAAGACTAAACTATTCAGTAATTGTAATGGAATTATTCTCAGATTTATAAATCATTTTAATGATAATATCCCGTTTTTAAGTTATTAACGTAATAATTTGATGATCAGATCATTGCATGACAGTTATTCTTTCGTATAAAATATATCTTCAGTTTTATACTTGGTTTCATAATATCTACACAGGTTACTTGGAATTTTAAAAAAAAAACTACGAGATTTATAAACAAGCACATCATTCAGATTAATCAAAGGGGTGAGCTGCAAATTCCTTTTAAAATCTTCTCTGTCAGCATTTCCAAAGCCATATTTTTAAGTGTATGGAAGCGATGGTTATTAGACAATCTATGCCTTATTCATGTGTACCGAACGATTGATTCTCACTTTGAATATATTTTAATGTTAGGAGTGATGTAAGAATTTACTCTTTACATTCAAGTTCATATTACATTTTCATATATCACTCTTATTTATTTAGCACATCATTTGACTATTCTCTCTTGGCATTAGATGAAAATGTTTTGAAAATTTCAATGTATGGTTAAATTGTTCACAATGTACTGTTTAACATTCTATTTTTAGATCAAATGAGTCTTTTGATTATACTTTCAAAATTATTAAAGGAGCCCACTGTTTTATGAGAATTCCTTACTAAAATTCGGATAACAATGACTATTTCAAACAACAGACTATAAAACTGGAAACCTTGCATTGTTGTTTCAAATACCATGCATACAAGAAACAATAGATAGACATAGATAAGTATTCTAAAACTTTATGACTTTATTTCTAATTTTGTTCTGATATATTATCAGTTTAGTATTAAATATCTCTGGTTTTAACGTTTGATTACTCATTGTTTAATTTTTCGCCTTTAATTTACGATATCAATCTGATCAATACTGCTGGCTTCATAGAAAATTTCTATTACATCATTACTGTAAAAATATTTGGACAGAAAATCTTAAATGAAGAAAAATGAAAGCTGTAAAGTGTCCAACATACATTTTATACCATGATTACTAAGTGTACATATGATTTTGTTAGTTAGTTGCAAAAAAAAGAATTTATCCCTTTTTTGGTAATGCAGAATTTTGAAGATAATTTTCAAGGAAAATGGTACATAACCTAATTCTCTACCTTAATTATGAATAAGTTAAACATAAATATTCAGTGCTATCAATTACTTTATTGAACCATTGTTTTAAAAATCTGTGAAGATATGAGTTTTCACTTTCATTTACTGCATTCGATTTTCCACCGGTATCGAAATCATTCACCTTCATCATTTGACTTTGAAATACCTCCTGTATTGATTCAAATTAATTGAATATAAAACAATAATCTTTTTAATTTATTTAAATATTAATTAAAATAATCATTACCATGAGATCAAGTTTTTGTGTAACTCTTATTAAAGTCATATTATTACTTCTCCTGGCTATGATAATTATAACGTTAAAACTCCAAATGGGAGTTTTATATCGAGTAGATAAACTATAGAATAGTATCCAAGCTGTCTTACAATTGGAGCTAATTTTTATAGTTATACGCAGGCTAATCTCCTACTTTCAATGATAATTGTTTGCACACTTTAGATAAGACATAATGATAGAAATGATAATTAGTGTCGGAGAAACACAGTCATTCAGATTTATTATTTGATATGACAATGGTTGAAATTACCTATAATAAATGCCTAGATATATGGTAGCACATTATTTACAAAATAAAATTCACCAAGCTCTTAGTTTTAAAAAGTTAATGGATGTAACGAATTGTATAAAGTAAAATGTAATCGAAACGAGGTATCCGGTGTCGGTTATCAGGACGAGCAGTATAAAGAATATATCGAATATCCATCGCCACGAATTCTCTTCTTGTTACTGTAGATAGTTGTTATATGTAGCTCATGTTTTATAATTTAGTGGTTGATTTACTTGTCATTCTGTTAAGCGATACTTGTATTAGTCATCACTACTGCTACAGAATAAATCCTAACATAAAAAGTTACAAAAGCAAGCATTTGTTCATATTTTTAGTATGATTTTTCTAAACGATTAAATACTTCCAGCTTCAATTCTTTGGTAGCTGGACACGGGCAATTCCATATCCTTCTCTGACCCCTTAAAATTAATTCATGAACCTCCATACAGTTGAGAAAAGAAATCAGTAAAATATATTATGAAATAGTTGTGCTCTATAAACATGATTATTCAATCGTTACTTGTCAAATTCAGACTTTTATTTGATTACGCTGCATTTGCATTCAATAAATAATGATTATTATTGTTGTAAGATTTTCAATGTTTTTGTTTATTTAGAAAAAGCATTTATTAAAAACATCATTTGTACCAAGTTCAAAACTTACTTCAAATTCCAAACTTTTGCTAGAATCAGTGTTAGAATTTTTGAGAATAAATTCTTTGTGAACTATGCGAATATGTTGAACACATTGAAGTTTATTCATATTGTTTATTGTCTTTACTATCATATTATTAATATGAGTATGATATAGTCCATATTTTTTATTCATTATATCAATAAATAAACTCAGGCACAAACTGAATGAATAGATTTGTACACCTAAAATAAAAATTATCAAATAGGTTTTTGGATTTCTGTCACTTTCATGAGCTAACATATCAGTTCAGTCTTTGTGGATGTCAGGAAAAAGATCGACTATATTCGAGTAACTAATACAGGAAGTGTCAAGTAATCATCAGTTTTCATCGGTTCACATGATACTGAATGATTATAGTTGGATAATATGAAGAGCTTGGAATTTACTATTTGATAATCTAATTTGTTTCCTGATAAGTCCGTCACTAGGTATGCTTGAAGCTATTACGAGTTCACCTTAGTCGATAAACGCGAACGAGACAATTACCAGCGTCCAGGTAGGCTACCTTGAATCCCAAACTGAAGACAGAAGGCTTTGTAAGCGTAGAAAGTATATTCTACAAACACCCAGCAGTCACAATACAATCAAGCACACAACTCTCGTTTATTTATACATCATAGAAACGTCTTTGGGACAGTTACGAAAATAGCATACTAAAATACACAGCAGCTAATCGTAGCCATGGATTTTCCTGGTGGGAAATAAAATCTGAATGTCATCTGATCAGCCCATGCTTGCAAACGTGAAATCCAATATATGGCATTTATCAAGCGAGTTCTGGGGATCTAACCTCCCCAACATTTCGCCCATGCTGTATATAAAATTTTGTTTTTATTCTTCAGGAAGCAAATAAAATACGATTATAGTTGTAGATATTGTACAGGATTGGAATCAACACAAAGAATGCTGTATTAAAATCATGACCATTTGCAAACAAACTGGTATACATCACACTTAAAAAAGTTAAATTTCGAAATAGATCGTTGTCAGTTACATGACCTGTTACAACATTGCTGATGAGTTTTACATCATTACAGAGATAACTGAGATTTCTTCTATGAGAAGGTGATTTTTCACGAACACTGAACCGTTTAACTTTATTATGGGAATAAATTATAAAAACAATACATCCTAATTACTGGTGTAATTATTTATCAGTTAAATAAAATTTTCTTTAAAGGCATAGCTAAAATAGATTGCGCAATGGTTTTGTGAGTTTTGTTTGATCAAAGCTTTTATGCTGATTTCCTCGGCATTTCGTACATTTATTGAAAATGTTTGCTAATTTTGTGAAGTCTAAAGAGACCAAAGTTGACCTAACTTATTCTTTCCATGTCGACCATATGCATCATAGAATTTATTGGACTACTTCACCAGAATGACATTTTTCTGTTAAAAATTCTTTGATTCATTGTACTATTAATCCCAAGGTTAGAATTATGTTCAGCCACCACTCGAAGCCTTAGGTTCAACATAAATTACGTGTTTCCAAATCTGACTAAGGTTAGTAACCTTATTGTAAAACATTTTACGAATAAACCTTAGTGAAATGCTTAACAAAACCCTATGCCTAAAAATGTCTCAATTTACTTCTACGACATTTTCTCTATTCTGTGTAATGTATGCTTCCTTATATTTTACTATGAATGCATTTACTGAAAAATTTGAAGTAGGTTCGAATCCCCTAAGACAGATTAATTCAACAGTGATCTTAGATTTAACTTTTTGATGAATAATAACTATCTAATATCTATTTCACAATGATAATGCACTTCTTTCCAGTCATCTAACTTCAAACAAACTAACTGGTGGGTTGCCAATGCTCCATTGGGGGTAACAGGCGTAAGTAACTTCAAACTAAGTGAAACATAATAACAAGTCAATCAGGATAATAACCGAATTTCAACTCAGCAGACAAAATCTGATTCGCACTAAAGACTAGACTACTTACTACTCAGTGATCGATTAATTTATCAACATAAAAATGCATTCACTATTCATAAACACTAATAACATTACCTTCATCAGTTGAGTTGATCGAATTATTTGATGGTATGTCGGGGAAATGTTTAATTAATTCATGCATATAATCTTTGTTCAATGCAAAATGAATTGGAAGCAGCCAATAAATGTATAAAGGATCATAGATTTGTTTAGCTGTATAGAATACATTTAAAATTTTTATTGACTGTTCACTAAATCGCCTAAATTGTTTTTGTTGATTTTTGAATTTCAATTGAAGTTCTAGAGTTATCTAGCAAAAAATAAAAATTTTTTTTCACAATAGCATCATTGTTGGTGAATTGATTAATGTAATCAACTTGCATTATCAACAATAATTTATTGATTCAATTTATCAAAAGAAAAAAACCCGATTATGTTCAATATCATTGCGAATCAATGATCAAATATTATCCAATCAAAATTCAAATTGATTTTCTAGAAATCTTGTCATTTAAATGAAGATAATAGTCTATACAGATTAAAGTTGATAGTATTAAAGATAATCTGAGTTAATCACAAAAGAATTGTCTAATCTTTTTGAATCTATTGATAAACTATTATAAGCTCTGACAAAATATACTGTCTGGTTGTTAAATGGCTGTCTTCTTTTTTTCATTGCGTAACATATAGAATTACGTGATGATTAAGATGGTGGTATCATTATAAAATAAGTAATTATACTTTCATACACAATAAGCACGTTAATTTATTCCTAATTTGAACTAGTGATTTTTGTTGTCTTATTCTTTTTAAAAAAAATAATTTTACATGATCATAAGTGTGGGTAGTTTTAGAAGATAATCTCTAAAATGTCTGCTATTAATTAAAATAAACATAGACAACCGTGCCATCATAAAACATTGACGGTGAAGCAGGCATAATATGAAGTAGTATATAGAGAGAAATCTTGAAAGATCTGTTCACAGTAACCCTCATCGAATAAAATTGGCTAACACGTTTCTACACTGAGAGCTCTATAAAAAGGAATAGAAAGTTAATGGTGTCTTGTGTCACACCCATTCGATGAATTTGTAGACCTTAAGTCATAGATAAAAAATCAAACCTAGAAACACAGCCTTACCGAAGATAAATATGCACCAAGAATTGTCGATAAGAATAAACGTTGCAAATCTCTGAAATAATCAGTAAACAAACCTTAACAATAGACACGAACGAAGCTAGTTTAAACTTGCCTTAAGCCATAATTTTCGAAACCATCATTCTCTCTGTCATATTACTAAACTGAGAACCTAACTTATTTTTGTTGCTCATTCAATTTCTGATTAGATTTCATTTCCGTTCCACTATTCTATATTAATCATGTCATTCAATTCATTTTCATAACGATTATTCTTTATCTGACTTCTATGGTATTCTTGATGAGCATTCAATGTCTTAGGAATTAAATCTTTAGTGTCCTCATTAAAATATAAATAACTCTTCTGTTCATAATTTCTATTTTTCAAATAAATATTACCAATTATCATGGTGTAAAAGATCTATATATTTACAGTTGTACAACTAACTCTGGGAATTCATTTATTGAATAACTCTTTTTTTTGTTTTATACTTTAATGCGTATTTTCCGTTAGTGGAATTTATCATATGATGATTTTGGCAATTTTAGTTGTTTCATAGTATTGAAATTGTATCTGTTTTTTAATGAAATAAGACAATTTTCAACCTTACTAACACGATAAATCACGGTAATTGTAAATGGCATAGCATAGTATTAGAGTATTCACTCCCACATACTCATAACCATAAGTTAACAACAGTTGAACAACACAATTAGTCATTTCACATATAGAAGGATGTAGACAATTACAGCAATGAGTGATATTTCGAAATTATTAATTAACGAGACTTTAAAAATTTGCTATTCTATTTTCGGAGGGTCATCAATCAGAGTGATATATGATCAACGGGATAATCAATAAAAATCCAGTTTACCAGTTTATCATATACATGTTAGAGTTTCCATACCATCAAGCTAACAAAATTGACAATGAGAAGGTTAGTGCATAAAAAGATAGTAAAGCGTTTGACAAAGATCACCTGTAAACAAAATTATTATACTGGATTTATTTGGGATTTCCGAAATAATCTTTATTAGTTCAATCCACAATAAATTAATGCTAAGGATATTGTCTAGAATAACAAAATATTCTCTAGCATTCAACCATCCAGTATGGATTATGCACAACCATGAAAAAATCTAATGAAAAGTTCATGTAAAATTTGACATATCGTACAATGCCACCATAATTTCCTTTGAAAATGCTTTCCTTATTAAATGAAATTATTTTTTTGGTCTTCATGATTTTATGTATAACCTTAAATAACTGCTATATAACAACACATCCATTATAAGTCAGCTTGTATCTCAAATCATATAATCACATACAATTACTGTTGAGTACTTGAAATAATTTTAGTCTAAGTATCTGTGTGAAAGAGGATTTATCACCGCATGACTAATAACTAGGTGTTTTGGGTCTCTGTTGGGAAAGTTAGATCCCCAGAACTCATTTTATAACTTTCCTAATTTTGGATTTCATGCTTTCACGCACGGGCTGATCACTTGACCTTGAGATTATATTTCCCACCAGGAAAATTCTTGACTGTCATTGGTTAATGTGTTATTTCAGGATGCTCTTTTGTGGCACTCTCAAGGATGTTTCTATCATGTATAAATAAACTCGATTTGTGTGCTTGTAAACCTCATATTTTCTGGGTGTTTGTAGAATACACTTTCTACGCTATATCAAGGCTTCTTCCTCTTCTTAGTGGGGCCTTGGGACGCTTGGATTAGATTAGCCTATCGTTTCACTAGATCATCTGTCTTCTCTCTCGTTTACCGACTAAGGTGAACTCGTAGTACTTTCAGGCATATCAGTTGACGAGCATAACAGTTTCTATTGTTTAATATATTTATTAAGCTAATTTAGAATATTCTGTTTTATCAGCAACTATCATACTTTATTTACGTACAAGTTGGAATACCTGGAGATAGCTAACATTTCCAATTTATAATGTGGATATCAGTTTATTGGTGCACTTTGAACTCTGAATTACTTTCCTTGCGACGTAGAAATACTTTTATTATGGAATCCATGTATTATTTTTGATGAAACTCAATATAAACATTTTTTTAAATATACTCAAACTTCAATGATTCATTTACCTCTTTCACAGTTTTTCTAATTATGTCGTTATACTTTGAACAAGTTGGGGTGGTTAATCCAAGTTTTGCAGTTCCAGACGCCAACAAAACACCAAAGTTTTTTCGAGCAGAAGTTTCTAATTCTCTTGATTTTAAGTAAAATATAGTGAAAAATATTCAATCCTTTCATGAAGTTTTTGCAATGATTTTTATCAATAAAGATTCAAAATTAATTTCAGGTTAATGTCAAGTTAAAGCAGTAATGTATTTTTAGGCAATTCAATAGTTTAACCCCTAAGCATTCAGCTTACAAGTTCCGCTCTCCTTATTCATGAATTAGAGCGCTTTGATTCTGATTATGACCGAAATGGGTTTCTTTCGAACACGTCCTGACAGTCTTAGCTTATTTGTTAAACGTCAGTAAACTATGTAACTTATCGACAATTACTTTATGATGGATCAGTGATTAAAGAACCTAAGATTTTTTTTCATTTATCTTGTTGGGTTTCCTGGGCAGAATTTCGATTCTAGTTCAATTACGAGTTTAAGCAAGATAAAACGGCGATAACCATCATCATCAACAGTGAAACTTCTCTTTAAAATTGACTTGATGGCTTTAGGTAATGCAGCTGTATCGAAAGTGATTTACTTTCAACTACTGTATAGGAATTTTACAAGGTTAAGTCAAAGCAGTTTAATATCAGTCAGTTTACTTAACTCCATAATTTTCACAAAAAATCAACTTGCAAGATCTTTCAAGTTAACAAGATAGCCATTTAACATATGATCGATTCGATGTGCTTATGGATGTATGAAGCGATGAGGTTTGCTTAATGTGCATTTCCAATTAGAATTTCATCAGAACTATGGAATGGCATATAAGTTTCACAGATGAAGATGAAGATTAAATTGGCGCTAATTAAATATTAGTGATTCAATTAGTGATTGATTTAACAAGCTGCACTACTGATGTAACCGGAGCCATCATTCTAACTGAAATCTCAGAAACAATGGTTTCTTAGATATTGTCGAATTTCTACTTTAGTTTTTGCTTAGATGGTTTTCTTTTCAAAGCGAATTCGAAATATAGTTAGTTTTACTAAGTAGAATACAAATTATTCCAAGTTAATCCTCAGACTAAATACCATGAACATTGTAAACAAACTATTTAAATAGATTATAGCTGTAATTAGGCAAAGCTAAAAAATGAGTATAGTGTCTTAGTAAATTCGGGTTTCCAGTATACTTCACTTCATTTTATTGTCCTATTTAGTTTTCTTGTTAGAAATTTTAGTGCTGATTCAATTATAGGCAACTCAAAATCGAGTGTCAGAACTGTTAGCATTACATTGTTCTGTTCTCTTGTCCACACTTGGAAAAAGTCTATAAAATTTCGACAAATTCTATTAAATTAATTCTACCTCATTTTATGTCCATCCCAATTAATTGGATTTTCAAATTCTGATCTAGTCCTTTCAGCTACTGTAAATAATGCCAGTGGCCATAAAAATCTTCTTAAACTATACGGTATGAGTTTTCCTTTCAAAACTGATACAACTCGATGAGTAAAACTTTGTGTTTCATTTTCATTTGAATAATTTGCATTGATAAGTTTAACAGCATTTGAATAAGATGATTTACGGCACATTTGATCGATTATACTGCCAAGACACTCAGTGAAACAACTTGATCCAGTATCAATCGATGCCATCCATCCTTCTGGTCCTAAATACAAGGTGAACAGATTTTTAAATAACATGGAAAAATGTTACTTAGTTATTAGTTAAAATGTTAAAATCGATATAATAGTAGGAAAATCATTTTGGCGACTTCGAGACTTCGATTATAACACAATGTTTCTGTGTTAATTTAAAAAGTTATCCTTCCAATACAAAGTAATTAGTGACTTTCAGTGAATAATGTAATAAAGCAGTGTGCAAATAAACAGATGGAAATTGTATTTTACCGGAGTTGAATATTACAGAATATGTAGAGAAAAATTATAAACTTTAAGATAGTGTCTCTCAAAAAAATCATCATTTTATCAATGAAATTATTTTCGGGCAGAGTTTTGGAGGTTTGCGTTTTTTACACATTTGAAATCATCAATCAGTCATTGTCAGACCACCATTAGAAACCTGGAAGCACTGGACGGCCGTTTCGTCCTGGTATGGGACTCATCAGCAGTGCGCATCCACGACTCCTGAACCTCACAGGATTCGAACCAGGGACTTTCGGTATTGTGCGCGAACGCCTAAACATCGGACCACTGGGCCGGCATCCAACGGTACAAGAGTCGTAGATGCGCACTGCTGATGAGTCCCATAACAGGATGAAACGGCCGTCCAGTGCTTCTACGTTTCTAATGGTGGTCCAACAATGATTATTGCTTTTAATGCTTTAAGAGTTAAATTCTTACATACCTTATTTATCAATGAACCTCGTTTTTGATTAACAAACATTTCATTTGGAGATAAAGCTCTGAAGTTTGTGAAGTTTCGTTATTGTCTCTGTTTGGTTTGAATAACAGATTTTTCACAAGTCAATCAAAAGCAGACGTGTTCAGTGCAATTCAGTTTAATTAGGACTTGCTGTACGTTATTCAAAAGTCACTGTTATCAGTTAAGTAGTAATTAATTATCTTTTATTGTTTGTTTTTATAGACAACTTCATAGTGCAAATGATATTGACTATAATGATCATCGTGATATCAATAGTTTGCTTTATTAAAACTTAAAACTTGCGATGTATGAAACTGTTTCAGTACATTGCTTTATTTAGGCATTTAATCCTAATAATTTGAAATGAATCATAATCTGGTAGGTTGCTATTTAACCAGTCAAATATTGTTTAAGGCAAAGTAGGTATGTCAAAATAAACAGGCTGCAAAAACTATCCATGAGATATTTTATGTCCAGTCATTTAATCTATACTAATATACTTTTTCCTAGTTAAGCAATAACTTGTAATGATCAAAATCCTCAACCTTCAACCACTAGATCACATATTCAAACCACTCTTCAACGAATTCAGTCTAAACAACTGAATCGTATCGCTAGCTCACACAATAACTGTTTGAATAGAAACTGAATTAAAACAGAGCAGGAACAACCATTGTAGTAGAATAATATGAATCTATTTATCTATCTATTGGTCTATTAACTAAAGATGGTGTGTATACACTGCACATTCCAGTATTAGGAAAGCTTCCATGAACTACTTTTGATAAAAAGGACTATAAGTATTGAAGAATTATCGAGTAATACTAATCCTGTTAAATGTTGATGTGTAAAATAATCTGAATATTCTAGAAGACAATTGTATAAAACTCATGGAGAGATAGATCACAGGAAACACAGTTCCATTACAGGTTTCGTAGTCAACCTCAAGAAAAGCGGATACATAATAAAATGAAAAGGAATGAAGCTTAGATAAGATGGAAGAAATCCTCAAGTAAGTGAATGTACGCTGTAAACATAAAATCAGCTGTTACTTAGACGAATGTTAAGAGGTGAGGTAACCAGAACACTGGACAACTGGCAGCAGCATCTTTTTGATTACATAAATCCAGTTAGAGCCTATGATAGAGATATTTTTACTTCAGCATCATAAGTTACTACACATTATATTTAAATGTGTGACACTATTATTTTCAGGTTGTAAGCACTTAGAGATAAACCACGAAAGAGATGAACTGTTATTCTGCTTCAATCATCTTTCTTCCTCTAGTTAAATCAATAAATGATAAAAATTAAGCTTTTAAATGAGTTAGTTTCAGTTTATCTAATAAGCAGAGATTAATAATTTTTGAATAAGTTTGCTAAATTTCATTCAATTCTCAAACTTAAAGTATAAACGCTACCAAACATAATTTTGTTCTTTGTTGGTATCTATTGGTAGAAATAATCTATCTTTATTACATTGTGGATTATTGACAAGTTCATGAAATCCTATTGATGTTTTTTGGATCTGTTTGTATTTTTTTACAATTGACCAATTCATGTGTAAATTCTACCATTTTAAATACAAAGGTTAGATGTTCACAAAACTGTAATCTATGTTGCAAGACAGTATCCTAGGAAACTGACAATTCATCATGTTAACCTACATAAATAGTTGAATACTACAAGTCAAATGGTGTTAGATTATTCAGTTGTTAAAAATTATGTTTATCATACGACGATGAAATCAGTTCAGTATTTCCTAAGAAGTTTAAAAAATACTCAGGTGCTTTTTTAAACAAAGATAAGTAAACTGTTTAAACCGTCTTCTGTATATTTAATTTACTGGCTAGAAAATAATGTCGAGTATAATATATGTGTTGAAAACTTATTTATTATGAAATAATTATTTTTAAAGTAGAGATCATGATTCATCATGATTAAAGCGAGTAAGATCCAACCTCGTCTAAGATTACATATGCCAAATATAATTAAAAACAACAGTTCTCTACTTCAAGATAGCTCATATTAAAATTTTAATTACATATATAAATTAGCCCTCTATTGTCAAAGGCAATTTTACATTGGTTTCCAGGAGAATCAAGGAAACTGCTCACGTGTTAGCATTTCAGCATGAACAGTTCACATCAATCCCGTGGTGCAACCACACTGGGTATCTGATACCCTGCCGACAACATATGCTCACTTAAGTGAAAAAAAATTGTAATTGATAGGGTTGTACATATCTACGATACATCTCATCGTGCAAAATAAATATTTGATATTTTTTTAGAGAAAAACACCGAGATAACAACTCTAAAACTTGTAACTCATAATAATAATAATAATAATAATAGAGTTGTTGTTTTGCAATTACAAACATTTCATGTGTTTCACTCTTAAAAATCTCTTCGGATTTGTTGGTAAGAAGCCATCAGCAACAACATACTGTGGGAGAGAACAAACCAGATTCCAGTGGAGGAGGAAATCAGGAAGAAGCGGTGGAAGTGGATAGGACTCACACACTACGAAAAGCACCTACCTGCGTCACAAGACAAGCCCTCACATGGAACCCTCAAGGCAAAAGGTAAAGAAGAAGGCCAAGGAACACATTACGCCGAGAAATAGAGAAAGATATGAGAGGAATGAACAAACATTGGACAGAACTGGAGAAAGAAGCCCAGGACAGAGTTGGTTGGAGAGAACTGGTGGGCGGCCTATGCTCCACTGGGGGTAACAGCCGTAAGTAAGTAAGTAAGTAAGTAAGTAAGTAAGTAAGTAAGTAAGTAAAGTAAGTAAGTAAGTAAGTACTCTTAAAAATCAGTATTTTGAGATGCATCATCAATAAATGATTCATAATGCAAATGTTATCATTCACTGTTCATCATGCCATTAAAAAAAACCCATTGATTAACCAAACTATACAGAATTACAGTTTGTATTGATGTTTATTTTCGTAGGTATTTTTGCTCATTGAACGAAAATATAGCGTCTCATTTTGTCCGTTGAACCAATGAAAAAACATGTAAATTGATGTATGTATTATAATGCCCAAAAAACTTGTCTACAATTTTTTTTCACATGAATTTGTGTGTGTCGGATTGTATTTTTCCCTTTTTGTAATGAATGACTATTTCTTTTTCATTCATTTAAAAAAAAACATGCAAATGATCGTTATCTATAAGTATATATATACTGATAGATGGATGAAGCTTAATAAATGTCTTGATCGAATTTTTTTTTCTCTTGGATGTTTCTATTCAATACAGCAATGTGTACACACACACACATGGTGTATGCAAATGAGCAATACAATCCACAAAAGGATGATGGAAGAAGTGCAAAGTATACAATAAGACTATTTGTCCAATTCGACTCGTTTATTTTATATATATATATATATATATATATATATATATATATATATATAAACGGATTTCACATGTCTGCTCCAAACATCTTCCTATAAATCTATACCCACACAATATTTAGGGGTTAAGAAAAAGATGATGTTCACTGACAGAGTGTGTGTGTTCAAATTATCCAGTTAACCGATATCAATGTTGATATAAACTGAACGATGAAATTTATTTATTTATTTTCATTGAATGAAGAATACCTCATCACAAGAAATTAGTCTTTCATTTGATAATCACTGAGATAATACATTCACATGGAATTAAAAGAACTACTTAACATTCATCATTAAACCATTTGAAGTATTGAAATGTCATTAAAAATGGTGTAAATTTGTTTGTTTTTTGACGAAATGATCAGTAAATTCTTGATTACCATAATGCTTGGATTAAATAATCAAATAAAATCAACTGAAATCACAATGACCATATTTGTTGTATTGATTATGTTATTTCACAGGAATGTGAATTCATTTCCTATTGAAAATGAACTTTTTAATCAACATACTGAAATGTTATCCAATAGAAACGGTAAGCAATTCAATGATCATAATAAATTATTTAATGAAATTATTCCTAATAATGTCAATAGTAATAAAGACATTATTTCGGTACCAAAGTTGATTACAACGCATACTGTTCTCAATAACAGTGACGAAAGTAATCATACATGGACAAATGACAATATAAAGCATAATAACAGTTCTAATCAAGAAATCGATGGCGCAGTTTTACAAAAACAACCATCGTGTATTGGCAAAGAATGTTCCTCCATCCTAGCAGTCAATGAAATAGAGGCTAAACAGGCTGATACTAAAATAGGATCGGTTATTACTACAGAAATCAATGATAAAACATTGTTGAGTAAGACTTTATCTGATAATCCCCTATCAACTATAGACTCTTCTCAATTTGGAACTTATGTAACTAGTAATTTGAAAAATTTACATTCATCAGAGAACAAAAGCAATGAATTATCTACAAGTTTATTGACTAAAGCATACGATAATCGTTCATCAAACAATCTCTTCAAAAAGAAGTATAATACGAGTAATTTAAATGATCGGCCAAATATCTCTATGCATCATTTGAATGATAGTTATGCTTTGAAAATGGCTAATATCATGGAAAACAATATCGTGAGTTCAGTTAAAGAAGGATTGGAAGAGTTGGATATAAAAGGTAATAAGGAAAAGATTTATAAAAATGATAAACCTTTATCAATATACCATGATTTATTACATGTTCACGGAAAAAGTCTTAGAGAAAGGTTTGATTTAGGAGCAACTAATGACAACTTAGTAAATGACCATGAACTAGAAGTACCAAAGATTGAATTAGCGGCGATGAACAGGTTACCGACTAAAGGTACAATACAAAATAAATACGCGAAAAACACATCTTCAAATGCTGTTGATTCGATGAAGGTATTTAACGATCAACCAAATACAGGATACAGTGAGGAGGTTGAACAACTGAATGACCTAAATTATATAGTGAAAAACGGGCAAATTGGGAATAAACTAGAAAACATACGGAGAAAAAAACGATGGACAAGAAAAACAAATGCGAACGAAAACCTAAGAAAGCAGACAGAAAAATTAAAAAATCGAACGACAGAAACACATCACAATCATCAGGATAGTGAATATAGATTAGGGAAAGATGAGGTCAAAAGGTTAAGACGAGAAGTAAATACAAACACAGCTGAAGAAGAAATTATAAAAGTAAAAGAAGAAACGGGGTTAGAAGGGTCAGAAACCGAAAACAATGAACACGATAAAACAACAAACGGGAAAAAGCAAAACGAACACCAAGGAAGAACAAGAATGCTGTCAAGGTATGCTAAATGGGAGGAGGATTATCCAAAGAACGACGAAGACAGAACTGCGAATGCTCCTCCTACTGCAGATGTGACAGTGCCTGCAGACTCGAGTCCTGAATCTCCAGTGTCCGACGATGTGACGACTGCCACTCCTCCTCCGACTGCAGATGTGACAGTGCCTGCAGACTCGATTCCCGAATCTCCAGTGTCCGACGATGTGACGACTGCCACTCCTCCTCCGACTGCAGATGTGATAGTGCCTGCAGACTCGATTCCCGAATCTCCAGTGTCCGACGATGTGACGACTGCCACTCCTCCTCCGACTGCAGATGTGACAGTGCCTGCAGATTCGAGTCCTGAATCTCCAGTGTCCGACGATGTGACGACTGCCACTCCTCCTCCGACTGCAGATGTGACAGTGCCTGCAGACTCGAGTCCTGAATCTCCAGTGTCCGACGATGTGACGACTGCCACTCCTCCTCCGACTGCAGATGTGACATGCCTGCAGACTCGAGTCCTGAATCTCCAGTGTCCGACGATGTGACGACTGCCACTCCTCCTCCGACTGCAGATGTGACAGTGCCTGCAGACTCGATTCCCGAATCTCCAGTGTCCGACGATGTGACGACTGCCACTCCTCCTCCGACTGCAGATGTGACAGTGCCTGCAGGACTCGAGTCCTGGATATTCAGTGTCCGACGATGTGACGACTGCCACTCCTCCTCCGACTGCAGATGTGACAGTGCCTGCAGACTCGAGTCCTGAATCTCCAGTGTCCGACGATGTGACGACTGCCACTCCTCCTCCGACTGCAGATGTGACAGTGCCTGCAGACTCGAGTCCTGAATCTCCAGTGTCCGACGATGTGACGACTGCCACTCCTCCTCCGACTGCAGATGTGACAGTGCCTGCAGACTCGAGTCCCGAATCTCCAGTGTCCGACGATGTGACGACTGCCACTCCTCCTCCGACTAGCAGATGTGACAGTGCCTGCAGACTCGAGTCCTGAATCTCCAGTGTCCGACGATGTGACGACTGCCACTCCTCCTCCGACTGCAGATGTGACAGTGCCTGCAGACTCGAGTCCTGAATCTCCAGTGTCCGACGATGTGACGACTGCCACTCCTCCTCCGACTGCAGATGTGACAGTGCCTGCAGACTCGAGTCCTGAATCTCCAGTGTCCGACGATGTGACGACTGCCACTCCTCCTCCGACTGCAGATGTGACAGTGCCTGCAGACTCGAGTCCTGAATCTCCAGTGTCCGACGATGTGACGACTGCCACTCCTGCTCCGACTGCAGATGTGACAGTGCCTGCAGACTCGAGTCCTGAATCTCCAGTGTCCGACGATGTGACGACTGCCACTCCTCCTCCGACTGCAGATGTGACAGTGCCTGCAGACTCGAGTCCTGAATCTCCAGTGTCCGACGATGTGACGACTGCCACTCCTCCTCCGACTGCAGATGTGACAGTGCCTGCAGACTCGAGTCCTGAATCTCCAGTGTCCGACGATGTGACGACTGCCACTCCTCCTCCGACTGCAGATGTGACAGTGCCTGCAGACTCGAGTCCTGAATCTCCAGTGTCCGACGATGTGACGACTGCCACTCCTGCTCCGACTGCAGATGTGACAGTGCCTGCAGACTCGAGTCCTGAATCTCCAGTGTCCGACGATGTGACGACTGCCACTCCTCCTCCGACTGCAGATGTGACAGTGCCTGCAGACTCGAGTCCTGAATCTCCAGTGTCCGACGATGTGACGACTGCCACTCCTCCTCCGACTGCAGATGTGACAGTGCCTGCAGACTCGAGTCCTGAATCTCCAGTGTCCGACGATGTGACGACTGCCACTCCTCCTCCGACTGCAGATGTGACAGTGCCTGCAGACTCGAGTCCCTGAATCTCCAGTGTCCGACGATGTGACGACTGCCACTCCTGCTCCGACTGCAGATGTGACAGTGCCTGCAGACTCGAGTCCTGAATCTCCAGTGTCCGACGATGTGACGACTGCCACTCCTGCTCCGACTGCAGATGTGACAGTGCCTGCAGACTCGAGTCCTGAATCTCCAGTGTCCGACGATGTGACGACTGCCACTCCTCCTCCGACTGCAGATGTGACAGTGCCTGCAGACTCGAGTCCTGAATCTCCAGTGTCCGACGATGTGACGACTGCCACTCCTCCTCCGACTGCAGATGTGACAGTGCCTGCAGACTCGAGTCCTGAATCTCCAGTGTCCGACGATGTGACGACTGCCACTCCTCCTCCGACTGCAGATGTGACAGTGCCTGCAGACTCGAGTCCTGAATCTCCAGTGTCCGACGATGTGACGACTGCCACTCCTCCTCCGACTGCAGATGTGACAGTGCCTGCAGACTCGAGTCCTGAATCTCCAGTGTCCGACGATGTGACGACTGCCACTCCTCCTCCGACTGCAGATGTGACAGTGCCTGCAGACTCGAGTCCTGAATCTCCAGTGTCCGACGATGTGACGACTGCCACTCCTCCTCCGACTGCAGATGTGACAGTGCCTGCAGACTCGAGTCCTGAATCTCCAGTGTCCGACGATGTGACGACTGCCACTCCTCCTCCGACTGCAGATGTGACAGTGCCTGCAGACTCGAGTCCTGAATCTCCAGTGTCCGACGATGTGACGACTGCCACTCCTCCTCCGACTGCAGATGTGACAGTGCCTGCAGACTCGAGTCCTGAATCTCCAGTGTCCGACGATGTGACGACTGCCACTCCTCCTCCGACTGCAGATGTGACAGTGCCTGCAGACTCGAGTCCTGAATCTCCAGTGTCCGACGATGTGACGACTGCCACTCCTCCTCCGACTGCAGATGTGACAGTGCCTGCAGACTCGAGTCCTGAATCTCCAGTGTCCGACGATGTGACGACTGCCACTCCTCCTCCGACTGCAGATGTGACAGTGCCTGCAGACTCGAGTCCTGAATCTCCAGTGTCCGACGATGTGACGACTGCCACTCCTCCTCCGACTGCAGATGTGACAGTGCCTGCAGACTCGAGTCCTGAATCTCCAGTGTCCGACGATGTGACGACTGCCACTCCTCCTCCGACTGCAGATGTGACAGTGCCTGCAGACTCGAGTCCTGAATCTCCAGTGTCCGACGATGTGACGACTGCCACTCCTCCTCCGACTGCAGATGTGACAGTGCCTGCAGACTCGAGTCCTGAATCTCCAGTGTCCGACGATGTGACGACTGCCACTCCTCCTCCGACTGCAGATGTGACAGTGCCTGCAGACTCGAGTCCTGAATCTCCAGTGTCCGACGATGTGACGACTGCCACTCCTCCTCCGACTGCAGATGTGACAGTGCCTGCAGACTCGAGTCCTGAATCTCCAGTGTCCGACGATGTGACGACTGCCACTCCTCCTCCGACTGCAGATGTGACAGTGCCTGCAGACTCGAGTCCTGAATCTCCAGTGTCCGACGATGTGACGACTGCCACTCCTCCTCCGACTGCAGATGTGACAGTGCCTGCAGACTCGAGTCCTGAATCTCCAGTGTCCGACGATGTGACGACTGCCACTCCTCCTCCGACTGCAGATGTGACAGTGCCTGCAGACTCGAGTCCTGAATCTCCAGTGTCCGACGATGTGACGACTGCCACTCCTCCTCCGACTGCAGATGTGACAGTGCCTGCAGACTCGAGTCCTGAATCTCCAGTGTCCGACGATGTGACGACTGCCACTCCTCCTCCGACTGCAGATGTGACAGTGCCTGCAGACTCGATTCCTGAATCTCCAGTGTCCGACGATGTGACGACTGCCACTCCTCCTCCGACTGCAGATGTGACAGTGCCTGCAGACTCGAGTCCTGAATCTCCAGTGTCCGACGATGTGACGACTGCCACTCCTCCTCCGACTGCAGATGTGACAGTGCCTGCAGACTCGAGTCCTGAATCTCCAGTGTCCGACGATGTGACGACTGCCACTCCTCCTCCGACTGCAGATGTGACAGTGCCTGCAGACTCGAGTCCTGAATCTCCAGTGTCCGACGATGTGACGACTGCCACTCCTCCTCCGACTGCAGATGTGACAGTGCCTGCAGACTCGAGTCCTGAATCTCCAGTGTCCGACGATGTGACGACTGCCACTCCTCCTCCGACTGCAGATGTGACAGTGCCTGCAGACTCGAGTCCTGAATCTCCAGTGTCCGACGATGTGACGACTGCCACTCCTCCTCCGACTGCAGATGTGACAGTGCCTGCAGACTCGAGTCCTGAATCTCCAGTGTCCGACGATGTGACGACTGCCACTCCTCCTCCGACTGCAGATGTGACAGTGCCTGCAGACTCGAGTCCTGAATCTCCAGTGTCCGACGATGTGACGACTGCCACTCCTGCTCCGACTGCAGATGTGACAGTGCCTGCAGACTCGAGTCCTGAATCTCCAGTGTCCGACGATGTGACGACTGCCACTCCTCCTCCGACTGCAGATGTGACAGTGCCTGCAGACTCGATTCCCGAATCTCCAGTGTCCGACGATGTGACGACTGCCACTCCTCCTCCGACTGCAGATGTGACAGTGCCTGCAGACTCGAGTCCTGAATCTCCAGTGTCCGACGATGTGACGACTGCCACTCCTCCTCCGACTGCAGATGTGACAGTGCCTGCAGACTCGATTCCTGAATCTCCAGTGTCCGACGATGTGACGACTGCCACTCCTGCTCCGACTGCAGATGTGACAGTGCCTGCAGACTCGAGTCCTGAATCTCCAGTGTCCGACGATGTGACGACTGCCACTCCTCCTCCGACTGCAGATGTGACAGTGCCTGCAGACTCGAGTCCTGAATCTCCAGTGTCCGACGATGTGACGACTGCCACTCCTCCTCCGACTGCAGATGTGACAGTGCCTGCAGACTCGAGTCCTGAATCTCCAGTGTCCGACGATGTGACGACTGCCACTCCTCCTCCGACTGCAGATGTGACAGTGCCTGCAGACTCGAGTCCTGAATCTCCAGTGTCCGACGATGTGACGACTGCCACTCCTCCTCCGACTGCAGATGTGACAGTGCCTGCAGACTCGAGTCCTGAATCTCCAGTGTCCGACGATGTGACGACTGCCACTCCTGCCTCCGACTGCAGATGTGACAGTGCCTGCAGACTCGAGTCCTGAATCTCCAGTGTCCGACGATGTGACGACTGCCACTCCTGCTCCGACTGCAGATGTGACAGTGCCTGCAGACTCGAGTCCTGAATCTCCAGTGTCCGACGATGTGACGACTGCCACTCCTCCTCCGACTGCAGATGTGACAGTGGCCTGCAGACTCGAGTCCTGAATCTCCAGTGTCCGACGATGTGACGACTGCCACTCCTCCTCCGACTGCAGATGTGACAGTGCCTGCAGACTCGAGTCCTGAATCTCCAGTGTCCGACGATGTGACGACTGCCACTCCTCCTCCGACTGCAGATGTGACAGTGCCTGCAGACTCGATTCCCGAATCTCCAGTGTCCGACGATGTGACGACTGCCACTCCTCCTCCGACTGCAGATGTGACAGTGCCTGCAGACTCGATTCCCGAATCTCCAGTGTCCGACGATGTGACGACTGCCACTCCTGCTCCGACTGCAGATGTGACAGTGCCTGCAGACTCGAGTCCTGAATCTCCAGTGTCCGACGATGTGACGACTGCCACTCCTGCTCCGACTGCAGATGTGACAGTGCCTGCAGACTCGAGTCCTGAATCTCCAGTGTCCGACGATGTGACGACTGCCACTCCTCCTCCGACTGCAGATGTGACAGTGCCTGCAGACTCGAGTCCTGAATCTCCAGTGTCCGACGATGTGACGACTGCCACTCCTCCTCCGACTGCAGATGTGACAGTGCCTGCAGACTCGAGTCCTGAATCTCCAGTGTCCGACGATTTGACGACTGCCACTCCTCCTCCGACTGCAGATGTGACAGTGCCTGCAGACTCGATTCCCGAATCTCCAGTGTCCGACGATGTGACGACTGCCACTCCTCCTCCGACTGCAGATATGACAGTGCCTGCAGACTCGATTCCCGAATCTCCAGTGTCCGACGATGTGACGACTGCCACTCCTCCTCCGACTGCAGATATGACAGTGGCTGAAGCCTCGAGCTCGATTTCTACTTCGCCTGATTTCATGATGACTGCTGCTTCTTTCTCTTCTTATTCGACTCCTAATATTTATGTTTCTTCTGTACACTCTCCTTTTTCTTCAGTCGGGCCTGAATCTTCCACTATGAATACTTCTCCGACTTTACAAGTTCCCATTGATCCATACCGTAGTATTTCTAAAGATTTTGTTAGTCATGAACAGACGGATGAAGTGTTATCGCAGAAGTTTCCTGTTACAACAGTTCGTACAGCTTTTTCTACAAATGAGTACCATATATCAAATCGAAATCCAATGGATGGAATCATAAAGTTTGTGAACAATGAAAATCTGGACATTGATAATGAATTGTCTGTACATAAATTTTCAACTACCACATCAAGCGACAGAAATATCAATATCCTTATAAGTGGGCTTAATATTCCTGACGGTAATAAGCTTGAATTTAAACATGGTTTAACAATGGGTTTCATTTTTTTGTGTAGTTTGGTCATTATGTTAGTTCTGTCCACAATTCTATTTCTCATCTGGATTCGTCATCGACGTAGCAAGTATTCTGGCAGTATAACCTTTACACATGTTGAAGAAAGCGATAATAGTGAACAAAATCCTTCATTCAACAGAAATAAGTCTCAGTCTAGAAATATTAAGCACGGTTCTTTCACAGATGTTGAACGAATAGTTAATGAAAGCAAAACTATTACACCTAAAAATTCAACCAAAAGACCTGCAATACAGAAACGTATTGATCTACGGAGAAAACAACATGAAAGAGCTAGAATATTAGCTCATGAAGCTTTACTATCTACTGGTGATTGTTCTTCATGTGATTGTGGCTTCACTCTTAGATCTTCCAGCCCTGAACGTCTCTGTTTAACTTCAAATCCAGATAATAATATTGTGCTAATTGGTGCACGGCGTAGACAAAGCGGTGATATTGGTGATAGAAGAGAACAATCAAATAAAAATAGAATTAATACTACTGAGCATACAAATGATACAGAAGAGGAATTCCCAGTGATATCTTCCATAGATGCGACCAATTCCATTGACAATAATGAAACTACATGTCCTTATCAAGATATGAGTATAGAGAAAAAACCCAGTATCAATTCAAAGGCATGGAAGTATATCGATGAGAATTAGGTTGAAATGCTTGAATATTTCTTCTCATTTATTTTACAAACATAAAAATGTAAGCCCCCAAAAATTATTATAATTATTTTGATTTGCCAAATTATGAAATTGAAATTCATTTTGATAAAAAGAATTCATTTCATTTTATTTCATTGCATCGATTGTACTATTTTTTATCTGTCTCTGATGAAGAAGCTTCAAACTTTACCTAGTGAAATCACATGATAACTACTGAATATTCACATAGATATAACTAATTCTCTATTTTAATGATTAGAGTATCATTAAACAGTAGACACATTTCAGATTTAATCTAAACAAAAAAATTACACAGACATGATTATTTAGAATGGCAATGTGAACAACGTTTCAACCATTGCTTTCATATTCATTCCATTAGTACAATAACTGATGATTAATACAACTAATTGACAATAAACTTTTGGCTATTGACAATTTAATTCTTTGTAAAAAAAAAATTATGTTTTCAAATTGCTGTTAGTACTGTTGTTGTTATTTTCTTGCCAAAATAAAAGAAGAAATTTCTTTCTAATGATTTATGACTAATTTATCTTGCTTTTCTTTTTCTCGTAACAATAATTGTAATAGTAATTGTTGTTCAATTAACAAATTTAAATTACTACGAAATATTTTGTTGTTTTGATTAATCTTTCATCGTCAGCTTTTCATCTGTTTTTTCCATTTATGATATTATTTTTAACACAATTAAACTATTGAATAAAAATGATTTTTGAATTTTCTAATGAATAAGTTTGAATCAGGTTCGTGATCATTTTTTGTCACTTACTTACCTACACCTGTTACTCCTCATGGGATATTATAGGCCACTGATCGGCATTAGCCAACCAACTCCTTTCAAGTGCTATTCATATTAAGGCTTCATTTTAAGGTTTATACATCTTCCAAAGTTCTTCCAACATGTTTGATTTGGTTGGTGCATACCGTGTTGTATCTAAAGATCTTGCTTTTTCCCTAGTGATGCTGCTAAATTGACCATCTTCTCCTGAGTTCGTTGTTGTGTTGGGATAGAATACTTAGGTCATTTGCGATGTTCGAATCATCCAGCTTTATTCAAGCTGGCCACTGCATCCCCGTCCTTCCCCCAAATGCTGATGTCTCCTAAATCCAGTCGATCACCAAGAAAGGGTGAGAGTAATCAACCGTGCCGGACACCGGTCTTCACTTGAAATTAGTATGTGAGCTGCCCTCCATACACGATTTTGCAGTGTAGTCTATCGTAAGAATTCTGTATTATGTTGATCATCTTCTCAGGCACGCGGCAGTTTCAAAGAAGCCTCCATGGTGTAATCCTGTCTACGTTGCCAAATGCTTTCTTCTAGTCAATGAAGTTGGTTCTAATAGTATATAATGCTTATTACACGTGAATTGATTTGTTGCACAGGTAGAATCAATTGTTTTAAAAATCATCTTTATTGCATTTGAAAGATAAGGTAAGAAATTATCACACAGAGCACTATCGGTATACTTGGATCCAGTTAATTGACGTGCTGTGAAAAATTTCACCTTTTCGAATTTCACCAATCACTCACTACCCAGGCCAAAGTTGGGTATGTTGTTTCGAACTGCTATATTTATTGCACAGCTCGTGTTTTTCGATGCTGGTCGTTCTAACATATACGAAAGCTGGTAAAGTTATTAGGCTAAGAAAAATGATTTTATACTGTCTTACTGATAAAAGCTGCTTCTGGTGGTGTTTTGTTCTCTGAGCTACAAGTTTTCTCCACCATCTCAAAAACTGCTTCACTAATCATTCAGTGCAGTTTAAAACTTCAGAACATAATGAGAATTTCAAACCATGAATCGATCACTGTTAGACGACTATTAGAAGCCTGGAAGCACTGGAAGGCCGTTTCGTCCTTGTATGGGCCTCATAAGCAGTGCGCATCCGCGGCTCCTGCACCCCGCAGGATTCGAACCCAGGACCTTTGGACTTGCGCGCAAATGACTAACCTCTGGACCACTGAACCGGTAACTAGCGGTGTTAATGTTTAACTTAATGAAACTTAACTTAACTTAACTTAATGAAAAAATATTCTCTCTCTTCAAGGCATCTTTATTTTATGACAAAAAGGAATTTTCACAAAGTTTAAATAAGCATTCAAAGTTGTATCAAATTATTTGATAAATCATAATTTAATTATTAATAAACTGTGGTTCTTTTGACGTAAAACAAATAACCAAAATTCTTTTCATTATCGTTTCTCCATCCCATTTAAAAGAGTGTAGTAAATTGAAATTCAGTTCGTAAATATTGTATAAGATAACCACTTTTTAATACTGTTAATCTGTCTATTAATCGAAAGGGTGAGTCACTGCCAAAATAAATAAAACTTTCGTGTTCATAAGTGGATATCTGAAAGTTACATTTCTTGAAGTTATGGTGAATTGAACTAGTAACTCATCTATAGTTTTGGATACGAATAACTATTAATTACACAGTGATTGATATTCAAATTGTAATTCACTTTTAATTTGTTCATACCATGATACCCAATCATTCATGGTTTAATTATTCTAGGGTCTTGTGAGATTACAACTCAGGAGTCTCAGGTTAGGACAAAACAGCTACCCGACATTATCATTTTATTCAGTGTATAATAGTCAGGGCTAAAAACTATGCAAAAACTATGAAAAGGTCCTTTTCCCTTCGTCGAACAACTATCCAAGTTGCAATATTTTTAATTATTCTATTTAGTTATACGGATGTTTAAAACTTCAGTTTACTTTCGGTGAGTCACACTAGCTTTGTAGTTAATAGAAATATTCAAGTTAATTATTATAGTTAATAAGACTACCCTAAAAATCAGCTGGTATCACATAATTTTAAAAGGCTGGAAAGTGTAAATATTTAGTATTAATACATCTAAACAAGAATTGGCTTTTTAACCATATACAATGTCTGTATTATAACTTTATAGACATGAACTTTATGTTAGTGTGATTGCGTAATCAAAGCAAAATTACATAGACCGGAATCACTTATGATCAGCATTTAGCCGTCATTTTCTAGCCATTTTTAGATATATAATCATCGAAAAAATTTCGTGTAGACAGATTCAAGTTCTATTTTTAGATTACTTTCAATCAAATAAGTAGTATGTTACGTATCTTAAAAATAAAGCAAGCTTTTGACAAAGAAATTATATGCAATCAAAATGAAAGTTTAGTCCATTTATTATTCAGTAAAATCTTCAATATTTTGTATTTTAGAATATATTTAATTACCTTAAAAGCGCTTTGAAAATTAAAAATTTTCTTTGATGAATTGTCGTTCGTTCCTTTCTGCATTCGAAACTGTGAACGTCATTATTTGAACATTGGAGATCATATTTCTAATGGCAAAGTATCCAGTTGTTAGTTTTATGAACAAATATGAATGATATGTGTCTGTCCTTTCAATTAAAATATTCTGCTCAACCAGTCAAACTTATTAGGCTAGGGATTTTCAATACTTAAAGAGCTTCATATCATGAATTCTACACCTGTGAAGTACGAATGTTAGAAATGTCTATAAAACAAGTTTTTTAAGGGTCTCTGAATTTTAGAAATGATTTTCATTTCAGGTTTCAAGGTAATTTAACAAGGTGACCATATTTTCAATGCCGAACTTTTGTGTAAATCAGTTTCTGTAGATGCGAATTTATTTCACTCTTGATGACGTAGTAAGTGCTAAGTACGCATAGTCTATTACATGAACAAGCAATGAAATATGGAAACTTTAAATTCAACTGATAAGTTGGTGAAAGTTTCATGTGATAAACTTGATCCCCTTGATCTTATTGAATAAATTATGGTCAACAAGAAACGTAAATTGAAATGAATTCATTGTGATCCGAACATTTCGCTAACTGAAAACAGTAGTTCAACAATGAATGGTTGAATAAAGCGTACGTTTGATATTTATCATTGATTTCTCATAAACTCCTGTAACTAATGTTAATATTACTCTTTTCGTAATTTCAGTTAGTTTATCTAATCAAGCTCTTCGTTAATTGAAGAAATATCTATTGTAAAGTTGTAAAAACGAGTGTTGTAACACAAAACTGCTTCTTTCGATTGCTTAGGTAGCATTAAGGAAATTTTTTTACTTGTCAAAGTAGAGAGAGTATGGTTTACCATTTAATTGTTATTTGAATTATTTTTATCTCATTTTTTTTTATTACAAGCCAGTCTTTATAAGAGTTTTTTACTTCGATATAAGGAATGTGACAAAACACTTATAAAAATAGTAGGTGAATAAATGCGTATAAACTTCAAATTGTAAAAATTCTAGTTATTGTCAACATCTTATTCAGAAGTCCGGTCTAAAGTAAGTAATTTATATGAAGTGGATGCCGGTCTTATTTCATATTTTCAGCTTCATTTATCTTATAAGTGTGAGCTAATCAGTAGGACGTATTCTCAGTATAGGTTTGTGGAAATCGTTGGGCTTCTTTGAAGTCATGAAATGATTAATGTTAGACCACTATCGGAAACGTGAAAGCATTGTCTTAGGTGGATAACTGTCTTACACTAGATATGGTTGAACTCCATTGGCTACGGCTTCAGTCATATCACGTGTGAGGCAGTTATCTAATGGAGACAATGGATGAAGTCGCGCAATATCTCGGATTGATTGATGTAAGATGTTAAGACCTTTGTATGTTATTTTAGTGGTCAAGATGTAATGCGAATGTACGCGAACCTGAAGATCCTCAGCTTAACTCCCACTTGCAGGGTCATGAACGCTCGCTACTGATGTCTACCATACCAGGATGACCATCCAATACTTCCAAGTTTCCAACGGTGGTCTGGAGTTGATCGATTCGTGATTCCAAATTAGGGCTTATGTTAGAATTGAAGTGTTTGATTTTGCGGATGAATTAACATTTTATTACGGAATTCAATAACTGAAGCTCTCAAGAATGTACTCTCACGTCTTAAGTCTTTCTGAAATTAATAATCTGGGTTGAGCTTTACTTAATAAA